GATCCGGCGGCTTGGACCATAAAGTAGCCAGCCATCCCATCTAGAAAACAAGACGGAGGCCAGACCCTGACCTGCCACCCTGCCGCCGCCGCCCTGTATTCCCTGGGAGAACGCCCAGTACAAGGCTACAAGCCATTTGGATTATGGTCCGTTTCCCTGGACTCGGGTTTTGGGGGGGCATCGAGTCCTGTACCGTACGGATACAAGCACCATGGCCTTGAACGTCCTTACACGGAGACACAGAAAAGCACCTGCAGATCGAGATGGCTGCATCAAAAGCCACCAATCCAACCAGACGCAAGCCCACGGATTTCTCGAACTGGACGGGAGCTGTTTTCTGGCGTCCGCCTTTCTTTTCTGGTCTGTCTCTCTGACTTTCTCTGCCTGCCAGCCAGCCTCGCCCTTGCCTGCCACGGTGGCACTCTTCTCTTCCCCAAAACAGAGTCTTGTAGCGCACATTGTGTATCCCGTATGAATACATGTTGTGGTCCGCACCACGTAAGTTAGCGCCAAGCCACTAACACTTCGTAAGCTTCAGCCCCGCTCAAGATCCAATTAGACCCGACTCGACAATCTGCAAGTCTCTCTTCACCCGTCGTACCCGTCACATCTGCAACACCACAACATGGCACCAAACCCATATGCAGCTTACTCACACTCGATCTCGACGTTAGCTTCGCTCGAGACAGGTCGTTCCGTCATCGCAAATGTTGACACGGAGAGATGTCTAGGACAAATAAAACTCAAGACCACACTCTTTTGCAGATGCTCCGAGAAAGGATGAACGCAGCCTCGTCTTCTGGCTCAAGGTGTTTGGTCGAGCAGCTCGACAAGCCATCCTCCGCGAGCAGCTTCAGAAGCAACGGATAGCCCGATACGCGCCCAACTCTCTCCGACAGCCGCCCCAACTTTGTCTAATTGTCTTCACTTTCGCTCTCGCCGGCATCCCAGCGTGAACCTTCTGTGATCCGATCCAATTCGCACACGCGTCACCATGTGGACCGTGGGCAATGGCCTTGACACAGAGAGGGTTTCGACGGAGCTTCCCCCTGGGATGGCGGCTGCTCTTGAGGGACACACGGCGCCGTTTCTCTGGTTGTGCCGGTTCGCTCGGTTCCTTCGGGGTCGTTCTACTCCAGCGACTTCACCAATTGTCCCGCTGTCAAAAATCTCTCGGATAGAGTTTGGCTGAACAATTAACGCCTAGATTGGAAGGTTTACTCCCTGAGACATTGGAGTTCCAGTACGAACCTCCGCCAATGCTGCCAAGTAGCCTGCTTCCAGCCTCGCTCCTTGTCGCCAATATCTCTCGACGTCTGAAGGAATGCACCATGTCTTGGCCGCTGTCGCAGCTCATTCCAGCGGTCCTTCAGCATGAACAGCATACATCGTGCCGCATCGCAACGGCATCTTCTGCCGTCCGTCTGTCGGATTGCTCCACCGTTTCCCGCAAAATCTGGCGCGGCCAACCGTTGACGAGACTCTGAAATGTCTAGGACAAGGGGGGTTTGAAACGAGCGGACAGCAAGTCATGTGTTTTGACTGGGCAGCAGTGTGCAGTCATTACTGCAGTGCCTGGCATCTGTCGCTGGAAATGCCGACCATGGTCCTGATCCATGATCGTCAATGCCCCTGCGCCAATCTCATCTGAAGACGCAAGCATGCAAGTCGAGTCCGCACAGCCGGGAGGAACGGGGGGTTCAATGGTCTTGCCGGCTCCCTTGGACGCCAAAATTAGTTGCTCTGTTGCTCTGGTACGGCGCAGACCGCTCGCTTGACTTGGGGGCCATCCGTCGTCGGGTCATCCTGCCACGCGCCTGCTCAACATCCCTCGCGATGAACATGTCAGCGGTTACGTGGAATCTGGCTATCGTTCGCTCCATGCCAGTCTGGTTTTGACCACTGTTGTCTCCTCCCTCCGATAACTTATCCTCGAGCGTTTCAGCATTCCCCAGACAGACCATGAGGCTATGGTGCTTTGGTCAATCCGTGGCATGAGGGGGAGGATGGGAAAAACGAGCACCACATTCTTGCGCGTCTGCCACCCCACATGGTCCATTGCAAGCCACAGGGACGCGCGCCCGGCCTCCCCAGCATCGACGGCGCCCGCTGGCGCCGGAGCTGGTGCTGCCTTTGCCCATCACGGCTCCACGTTCGAGGAGCCGGACGAGTGGGAGAGGCCGGCATAAGACGCTCCGCTGTCGCCATCGTCGTCAGCCAATGGAGCATCGTGAGCCGGAGACACATTCGTCAGTCTTTCCGTGAACGTCGGCCCTAGAGTGGCTCGTATCGGATGTTTACAGCATTGATGACTACATCTGTGGCGTCCGTCGCGGGCCGGTTCACGAGCATGTTTCCTGCTGTCGTGTTTACCCGGAAGGCTAGCTCGAAACTCCTGGTCTCTTGCTGGAAGGTGTGGCCGGGGACGGAGCTCGATGGGCAGACAGCTGCATCTAGGTCTTGGCGGTGTGATGGAGTCAAAGTGTAAGTACTTGGGGCCAGGGCTGCAAACGATGCAAACTTGTTCTACAGAGTACACCTCACTGAAAATGAGGGTGTTGAGCATTCCAGCGCTTCGTGGCCCCTGACATTCCTTTACTTTTTTTTTCGCCCCTACCCCTGCTTTCTCCCTGATGAACGAAAGAGCCCGAAGTATCACGGAAGCAAGGAGGCCAAGTAAGTGATGAAGAGATTGGTCGCGAACCCCGTCCCTCTAGGCGCAGAAGCAAGAACAGCGTATTGTCAGACAATAGGCTGGAAAGGAACTAGTGGCCGGTCTGGAGGCGTTTGTGGAATGGTCCCCCACCCACGGCGCCCACGGCTGAGAAGCCAGCTGAGACTGGGAATCTCAGGGCACTGGTCTATCTGTGGCTAGTTGGCAAACTATTCAGTGTCGACACCTCGTGGTCGGCCGTGCCGCCATGATACCCGTCGAAAGCGGTGTCTTGGACATACGTAGTCGCTCTCCCTAGTTTCCATTAGCTTGCGCGGAAAGAAGGGGTCCCATTCCACTGGGAAGTCTCGTTTAGATTGGGGTTGCATCTGTCAAGTTGCTGCACGGCATCTCATGAAAAGAGCGGCTCCGGACGGGTATGGATGATGGAATTGGGAGGGCAAAGTATTAGGAAGGGAAGCAGAGGGTAAGGGCCTGGGTACTGAGGAAGTACCTGTCGTCAGAGATGTCAGAAAGCGAGTACGTATCTTTTCGATCTGACTTCTTGCTAATTGGTTCTTGAGTCTTGATGCCTTTTCCGCGTCTCATCATCACATGATCCGTCAAATACAGCCAGTGTATTATGTAAGGCACATTCATCAGGATTCAGTTCATGGTCGTTCTTTCTGACAATCGTCCACTCCGACACCTCTCAATACGTCGTTCAAATACAAGCTTTTGGCAGCCGGGCGTTTGTGAGCTATAGACAGAATTGCGCCGTGTGCGTGCTGTCGGAAACTGGAGATGGTTTTATTTTGGGACACCGCGACGGGGTCGCGGCGGGAGAGTTGTCGTGGACGCAGCCGGTGCCTGGATGCCATACCAGGGTTCCCTTGGAAAGTCCCCGGTTCGCAATAATTACACAGATGATCGAAGAAAAGCAAGCACATATACCTACCTGCTCGCATAGTAGGCTGCTGCAGTTGTAGTGGTTAGTGGCAGGGGCAGATAGTTGCTGTAGGAATCGAAAGTTAGGTACTCCGTAGATAGGTAGCGAGAAACTGAGAGTACGGATGCAAAGTACATATACTTTGGAAACACAGGCAAGCGTCATGTTTCAAGATGTTGCTTCCCAGCCAAGACCCTCTCGGTGTCCACCCCCACCATCCACCATCTCTCTCAGTCTCCCGTCTCTACCGCAGCACTACCTACGTACGGATGCTATCAGTATTTGCGATACCATTCTTATTGCACTTGAGCTGCACTCGTCTGGTACTTAGGGCCAAATTGTTCCTTTCCCACCAGTTGCTGCAGCAGCTGCGCCGAGGGCAGCAGCAGCAGCAAGCAGCCATCCCACCATCCATCCACTTTTCTCCCACACCGGGCTAGATTGTCATCCATGAGAATGTCCCCAAAACATCAGCCAAGCACCCGCACTCAATTGGAGCGACGACCGTGGCTGCAGTCGTAATCGCGAGGAAGCCACCTCCACAGACCACGGCTGCTAACGAAAATTGCGAGCGAGAGAGAGAACCCAGCTGATTAGCTGACCTACGTGTTCCTGCTGTACTCTATACATGATCTAAGCTACTTTGCTCCCGCTGCGTACGGTTACCTAACCTGAGTCCCTCTCTCAAAACCTCTTAATCAGAGACGGACGGACGTCAAGAGACACGTTGCCAAGTACTCGCCGCAGCTTGGGCCGGTACTTGACTCTATCCTGGAGCCACGGATACCCGCCCTGTACCTGGTCGTCTATGCCCGTTCCCCAGTCGAGCTTACGCCAATCATTTCGGCCCTTGCTGATCTGCTGTCCACCGACCGCCTCAACTTGGGATGCCTCTTACAGCCTACGCACACCATCTCATTTGAACGCCTACGACGGTTCCATATGCACCTTGCCGAAGCTATCTGAACTTTGGCTGTCACTCTGCCACAGACTTTTTAAAGGTGGCAGGTATCCAGTTTCTCGCCCTTCAGACCTCCGTGCCACTACTCATCTCAGCTACTGCATCATCTCTCGTGAGACGGACGACAGGCGACTAACCACAAAAAACTTTGGGCCGACAAACTCCTTGAATTCTCTCCCTCATACCTGTCGCCGCCGTTCCTGCACACGCACTCCTGCCAATATTTCTCACTGCTACTACTACTACTACTACTATTACTACTGCTACTACTACCGCTACCTTACATTTCGCGCTCAATACGACTAATTCGCCAAACTTAGCTTGGCTCTAACGAACCATCCATCCTTCAACCACCGCGGACTACGTTCGGCCTCCCTTGCCTCAGTTGCGCGCGACTCGGGGTGGTGTGAGTGAGACAGAACAGGGCACAGATCGCCAATGGCCTCGATTTAGACGTGATAGGGATATCCCATATCTGAGGTAAGATTAATTGCCCGATATGAGCCTGTCTTGCGTGTGGGCATCCAGCTAAACTCACTTTCAGGGCCACATACTCTCTCCCTTGAAAGCCCAGCTGGCTTTCCCTACTTGTACTTCACCCTCGCACAAGCCTGACTCGCCATCGAATCCGAACCTTAAACTCTCTACGAGCTCCCGACACTGACCCAATCACTCGCTCTTCTTCAACCTCTCACACGCACATAACCAAAGACAGGTCAATTTATACCAGCGATATCGTCCCGACTGTCGAAATGACTCAACTCAACGGCCAAAACCGGGCGCCGAGCAGTACGTCGAAAATCGTCCTTATCAACCCTCATCAAAATGCGTGGATGCTAACCTTCAACCCAAGCCTACAGCAATGGTCACGGCAAGTTCTTCCAGGATGGAGGTGTATGGAAGGAGGCGCCCTTGCTCAAGGGCACCACCAAGTTTGAGCCTCTTCCCGATGTCAAGAACATCATGATCACCGGCGGCGCAGGCTTCATGTAAGTCGTGGTCTTGGCACTGCGGTTGGCCCCCCTTCAAGCTAACAAATACCTCAGTGCATGCTGGCTCGTCCGCCATCTCACTCTCACTTACCCCGACGCATACAACATCATCTCATTTGACAAGCTGGACTACTGCTCGTCACTGAACAACACTCGTGTCTTGAATGAGAAGCCAAACTTTACCTTTGTCCACGGCGACATCACCAACCCCACAGAAGTCGTTAACTGCCTGAAGCGGTACAACATTGACACCGTCTTCCACTTTGCCGCTCAGTCACATGTCGATTTGAGTTTCGGTAACTCATATGGATTCACTCACACCAACGTTTACGGCACCCACGTTCTGCTTGAGAGTGCCAAGAGCGTCAACATCAAGCGCTTCATCCACATCTCCACCGATGAGGTCTACGGTGAAGTCAATGATGACGACGACGACCTCTTGGAGACCAGCATCCTCGCACCCACGAACCCGTACGCTGCTAGCAAGGCCGCCGCTGAGATGCTGGTCCAGTCATACCAGAAGAGCTTCAAGCTCCCCGTTATTATCGTGCGCAGTAACAACGTTTACGGACCGCACCAGTTCCCCGAGAGTATGTCATCGAATGTTTCAAGCTTGTTGATTATAGCTAACCCAGCCAGAAATTATTCCCAAGTTCAGTTGTTTGCTGAACAGAGGCCAGCCCGTCGTTCTCCACGGTGACGGCAGCCCCACCCGCCGCTACCTGTTCGCCGGTGACGCGGCCGATGCGTTTGACACCATCCTCCACAAGGGCCAGATGGGTCAAATCTATAACGTTGGATCCTACGACGAGATCTCCAACATTGACCTCTGCAGCCATCTCCTCAAGGAGATGAAGATCCCCTTCGCCACAACTGACGAGTTCAAGAAGTGGGTTAAGTACACACACGACCGTCCCTTCAACGATCACCGCTACGCCGTCGACGGCACCAAGCTGCGCCAGCTGGGATGGGACCAGAAGACCAGCTTCGCTGATGGTCTGCGGATCACCGTCAACTGGTACCGCCAGTTCGGCGAGGAGTGGTGGGGTGACATCACCTCCGTTCTCACTCCCTTCCCTGTCGTCCAGGGTCTGGATGTGTCTGCGGACCAGGAGCCCGTGGCTGACTCACCGCCCACCCCCGAGTCGAAGAAGAGAAAGGTGATTGACGGCGTCAACGGCACCAACGGCCACTCTATCAGAGCATAGAGTCCCATGTGCTCAGTGGCGGGTGGGATGAATGAGGACATGAGAAAATTGGGTACGGGGGGGGACATGAAGAAGGGTGTTGTTTCCCTTCAATTGTTACGATGTAAATCCTTAGAAACGAAACAACGGTCCGGCGTATGGCCAAGAAAGCTTGGCAAGTTTGCAGAACACACAACACAACACACATTTCCTGGCTCCGGTCATGGCGGAGGGCGTAAAAGGCACACAGTATGGCGGTTCAATCATAGAGAACATGTGGTCGGCAAATCAAAGCTTTTTTCCAAACGTCGACTCATCGTTTTGAGATTCATGTGTGGTGTGGTTCCTCTATAACCTTCACGAGGTCCCTGGTGCCGGTACCCAGTGTGTTTGAACAACATTTTGAACAACATGAGTGGTTGTTATTCTGGGTTAGGAGCAGGAGAGGGAAAGATTTAGCTCGAGTACACACTCTCAAGTTGTTTATATGGTGTGCTACCTAGCGTACAGCTGATTCTGCTTTCGATCCTTTGCCCTGAAAATGGAGAAATGCGCTCTTCTTCCTCACATGACAAGGAGACAATGCCACATCAACATCATCTAGTCATGAAGTGAAGGGTTCGGTTGGTCTTGACTGTGTTTGGTAACGAGAAGGAGCTTTGAAGAAGTTGAAGAGTAGAGGGAGTAGATATAGCAGGGTTTAAATTGATCTTTTGCGTTATTCATTTTATCACTATTATCAGTGGCAGCAATCAGGCAAAGCCCGGCCTGGGTTCTTTTCATGTGGTGTCCATGTGATGAGGGGGTTTCGTGGTTCCCTGTTACAAAGAACGAGCTGTGCCTCACGGAGACTTTTTTTTTCTGGATGAACCCCGGGGTGCCTGGCAACCTTTGGTCGTGGGTAAGTCATTTTGCTTTTTCTACTTTCCTTTTTCCGCTCGTGATTCTTCCCGTAATTGAGGGGAGGGGATGGAAGGGGGGCTGGACCACGTTTTTTTTGTCATCTTACATGCAGATGCAGCTGGAGTTGTTGCTGGGTTTATTTGATTGCTTTTGGTTTCTCAAGACTCAAGACTCAAGACTCAAGCAACCAGCCAAAGGGCCCGGCGAGAACCCCTCTTTCTTCTAACTCACCTCATGCACGTGTTTCTTGGACTATGAGTCTATGGATTGCTTGCTTTTCCCTCTTTTCTCCCCTCGCAGCTTCCTGGTGTCAATGTTGAATGGCCAATGGTCAATGGTCTCATCTGTATAGATAGATGGAGTGTGGTTGGGAGACGAAAGGGGAGGTTCTCGAGTTTCTCGACCCATACGAACGGTACGAATACTCCGCTCTCCCCCCCTCGCTGGGAAATACCGCGCGAATGGTTCGAGATGGATTTATACCCCGGTCACGCAACTTTCGTTGGTTCGGCATCGGACTTCTCGGAGGCGGAGGGATTCGCTGTTTTTGCGTCTTTTGAAGTTGAGGTACGGAAATGTAGACCTGCCCTATTAGATGTGTGTGTAACCTACCTAGATTGGCAAGACTGGTAATGCTGCCACAGCTCTCCTGCTCCTCTTCAACGCCTTGAGATATGCTGAAAGAGCACGAGCGAAAGCGTCCGGACTGATGTCCGTCTCCGACCCCACCTTGGACGGCTTCTTCAATTCTATCGAGGGGGAATCGATGCCCCATCCGTGAGTGATTTGGAAACCGACGGTTTGGTGGACTGAAGAATCGCTCTCGTCCTCCACCCGGTCCCTGACCTGTCGAACCGGATCCTTGTGATCGCACAGAACTGACCCAGATATGATGGTTGGATATTACGATTTGGTTCTCTGGGTGGAGAAATCCGTAGATAGGGATTACTACTGTCTGCTCCTCCGTACACAACGATCCTTGGGCTGCTTGGCCCCCTCTCTCTCTCTTCTCTCTCTCCTCTTTGGTTCGTCCCCTTGGACGTGCTTGAGCTTCTGGGTAAGGGCACATTAGGTGTGGGCGGGGGTTCCGGGGAGAGAAGAGACCCACAACCGCCGGACCCATCCATCCCCGAGACCCGGGCCAACCAGAGTGGCAGAGTCCCATAGACATCCCAGAGCCCCCCGAGGCGCGGTTGTGGTTCGGTGGGGTCTGAATGAGAACCCAAGGTTCCAACGGCGGCGGGGGGCTTTCCCTCATCCTTGGGCCTGGGAGTTCCTGGACCGTGGACGCGCCGCCGCGATGCCTGTGCGTGGGTTTTTTCTTTCCTTTTCGCTTTGAGCGCTCCGTCCCATCCCGTTGGGATAAAGTATCGCAAGTGGGAAAGGCCTGGATTGGGGTAAAGGACGCGCAGAAGCGTTGGTGCAGAGAGTTGCGCCGTGATTACCAATGACGATGGGAGAAATGCTGGTATCGTGCATTGAGAGATGAAGAGGTTGGTACCCAGTAAGGTAGGTAGGCAATGTTGCAGCTCGCCTCGCCTGCAGCATATCTCTACTACCTTGGGTAGCTTAGCAGCTAAGGTGCTGACTGCCCGCGTCGGTGGTTTCCGGGAATGGTATCAGTCTTCCTCTCTCTCTCGACTTCATTCTGAACCTAGAGGACGGTAGAGGGAGACAGAGGATTCAGCTTGATTTGATCAGAATTTCCGAGCATAGCAGCCCTTTTATCTGATCCGCGAACCGTTGGAAATCTTGGTTGGTTCGAAATTACATTAGGAATTAGTGCCCAGTGTTCTTCACGACAACAACATTAACAACAATGTAATCCTCCCCCCCCCTGATGCAGCACACTGACCTTGCATATCCAGTGTACCAATGCAGAGACCTTGGTGGCTCTACATGTACGAATGAAATTTCTCTCTCGCATCGCATAGGCATAGAAGCGTCCTAGAATTGGAGCAAGAGGTCCAGACGTAAAGAAATGATACCTCGAGCCCGCACCACCCATCTCTAGACCCATTAAGATGCCGTTTTAACGACATGGCCGTCGTCCACTCCCGCAGCTAAGGCACCAAGCTCGTGTCCCGCGTATTAGTCTCTTAACCAGTCGGATTCTTGGAGTTAGGGATTCTCCGTAGTATGTTCCATTTGTAAAGCATAAATCTCCACGGCAGCTCCCCACGGCCTATGCCGCTGTCTCCGTCCAACACGTCCCAAGAAGCAAGCCAGACTGCCAGAGGAAACAGACGGTTCTACGGATACACTAATGTATGAATGCCAATGTGCAGTACCTAAGAAGCAATAACCCTTGATCGTTTGCCCCGTCCGTTCCCACCCACCCCCCCTCGTCCCTCGTCGTCCGTCCTCGTCGTCCCGGTCCCATCACCAGCGTCCTTGCGAGGTTCCCACATCGCCATCCCGGCACCTGTCAGGATTTCTGCACAGGATTGAAGCCTACACTGGCCAAGGGCACCCGCACTAGGACGTCCCCCCCGGAGCAGCCATTCCCTTTCAGTGCTAATCCTACCCGACTGGCAAGTCACGTCGTCGCCTGATTATCCTCAAAACGAACGTCCTTTCCCCGTGCCCCCCAAGCCTCCAAGCCCTTCGCTCTCCCAGTCCCGCCTCCCGCGTCTCCCAATTCAAGAGGCCCCTTCTTTCAACCTTCTCCCGCTTTGCCGCACTCGGTCTCATGCCATCTTTTCTCTTTTGTTCCTCTCCGGCCTAAGCCTTCTCTTCAAGTCTGCACCAAAGGGGGAAAAAGACACTTTCCACCATCTACCTAGGTATCTGCCCGAGCAATCGCGACCACCGATCGGCCGACCGATAGCATCCGGATTTGGCACCAAAATCGCCAGCCCTCTTTTTCCGTCCTTGGGGTTTCCGCGAGAACCCACTCCGTCGCCCCCTTTACTGGAAACAACCAACCTCGACGAGAACGACGACCCGTTTCCCTCTTTTTTTTTCTTTACCCACTGCCGCCAAATAATTCAAACAGATATCCTCCCCGGCATCCCGTCGCGGGCCATGACATGACGCTCCGGAGCCGCCGACTAGCAACAGAACGACCGCGATAGGGACCCTTCGAACTCAGACCCCTCCCCGGGTGGCACAGACGGACGGGACGGGTCTCGGCCGCCGCCGCCCATGGCCAGGAAGCGGCGCACCAAGAAGCGCAACAAGGGAACCAGTTCACAACCAGACCCCGCGCAGGGTGCCTCGTCCAGCATGTCCACCACCGACGAGCTCGCGTCTCATTCGAGCGACGGCCTGTCGAGCGGCATGCGCGAGAGCGAGAGCGCCGCCACCGAGATGACGAGCGTCATGGGCAGCACCGAGGACGGTTCGCAGGCCGGTCTGGAGGCCGACGAGGAGTGGAATTCGCAAGAGGAGGAAGGCATGGAGGCTGACGATGACGATAATTTCTCCGTGTTCGCGCCGAGTCACTACCCTCGACCGAGCGAGTCGCATCGGACAGAGATGCCCTACATGACGTCGCCGAACCATCAAGACATGTGAGTATTTTCTGGGGTTTGTGCCGTTTTTTGTCACCACCACGCCGAGCACCCCGAGCGACGACGGTCCAGATGTAGGCTGACTGAGAGGATAATGCAGGTCGTCAACGAGGTCATTCATGGAACGAGAATTGGATTACCAATGGGAAAACGGTCGTCGATATTGCGGATCCCACTACCACCTACCAAACGACGAGTGGGAAATGTGCCGCATGAGCTTAATCCACCGAGTCTACCTCCACGTTTTCGACGGCAAACTGAGCACGGTACCGATGGAGAACCCACAGAGGATACTAGATGTCGGCACGGGCATCGGCGAGTGGGCGATAGGCATGGCGGACGAGTTCCCCAACTGCGAGGTCATTGGCACAGACATATCCGCCATAGCGCCCACGTCAATACCGATGAACTGCTTCTTCGAGGTCGACGACGCCGAGCTGGAGTGGGAGCGCGAGCTCAACTCGTTCGACCTGGTGCACTTCCGCCACATGATGGGCGCGTTCCTCGACTGGAACTTTATCTACAAGGAGGCCTTCAAGGTCATCCGCCCCGGCGGCTGGATCGAGCTACTAGACTGGGACGACCAGCAGGGGTTCAAGAAGTTCCTCTCAGAGTTCCCTCCCACGTCTGAGATCCACGAGCTGTCGAGAGACCTGACGCAGGCGGGGGTCAAGGCCGGGCGTGCGAGGGGCGTCGCGCACATGAACCCGAAGCTATTGACGGACGCCGGCTTCACGGATATCAAGCTGACGGAGCACACGATACCTATTAATCTCGAGTCGAGCGAGGGCAAGCTGTGGCTGATTGCCTGTATCGACGGCCTGGAGGCGGAGTGCCTGCGGCCGCTTACAAAGTACATGGGGTGGGAGCCCGACCACGTCAAGACGGCGTGCCACAACGCCGCCAGGGAGATGGCGCGCCTGGCGAGAGATCCGATCAAGTCGCATGGCCTCATTGTCAAGGCGCGCGTGTTGGTGGGGAGAAAGCCGACGACTGCGGTTACGCCGCCGAGGGTGTACCCGATTTTCAACGACGACGCGGATGAGACGGATGATACCGCGAGAGAGGATGCTCACAGCAGACACCATGACGATGATGAGTCCGCTGTTGAGACGGCGGTCTGAACTGTCGTCAAACGAACTATGTCGCCTCTTTGAAGAGGCGATTGAATAATTTCGCTCCATCCGGGTGATGAACAGCCTGGGCATGACTAGAGCAAAACGATTTTTATCTTCATGTTCACTTGCATATCGCAACTTCCACACTGGCAGAAGAGATTGGCCGGTCCTATTTAAGAGCGATCAACAGACTTTGCATAGCTCCTACTTATTTACCTTACCTTCTACGGAAACTGGACGGGGTCGAAAAAAAAGTACCTTGTCTTTAAAGCGATCAACTGAGGATGCTGTTGTAGCAAATGGCGGATGGGGTTCAAGGAGGATTCGAAGAGGACTCGTAGTTGCACACTCGTGCAGATAAAAGAGGTCGAGAGATATCCTAGCTACTAGGCAGATTAAGGATAGTCATCGAAAGAAAGATGAAAATAGATAACGCTCCCATTTGGTGCACCATGCGTGGTTATGTGTCGAAATGAAGGAAATCCGAGTGAAGATTACCGCAGAGGTGCCTAATGACCTCGATGACCTGAGATGGAGCTTTGTGTAGGTAGTTCGATTTATCGAACCTAAGAGCTCGGTGCTTCGAAAGTACGTACCGCCATAGCTCCGTTCCCAGGCTGCGGTGGGGGGCCGGCCGAGCTCCCTGCCTATGTCATCCATCCTCCATCCACAGAGACAATCACCAGCCTCCAACAAGCCGTCCACTTTGCGCAACTGTGACTGGCGCACTCACCAACGCTCGAAACGAAACCACGATCCCCAGCGACGATGCCCGTATGACCCCGACGTAGCTGCCCCCTCGAATCATGGCTTTGAACCCCACCGACGGCTTCGTCGCCGCCGGCAACGGGGTGCTCGACCTGGACGACGCCGCGCTGCCCATGTTCATCGTCGAGCGAGTCCAGCTTCAGTTCTCCATCGCGGCCGACTTTGTCGCCGCCCAGGTCGCGAACAATGTTTTGGTTTTGGCGCTGTCAAATGGACGTATCTTACGCATCGATCTTAATAGACCCGAGGACATTGATGGTGCGTTTACAGACGACGAAATGACGGTGTTTGCTACTCACGAAAGAACGGAATGCTAACCACGAGGCCATTCGCAGACATTGACCTCCCCAAGAAACCGGCAGAAATCGGCGTCATTCGCCGCATGTTTCTCGACCCGACCGCCTCCCATCTCCTCGTCTGCACGGCGCTCGGCGAGAACTACTACCTCCATTCCCAGCACAAACACCCGCGCGCCCTAGCCCGCCTCCGAGGCGTCTCCATTGAGAGCGTTGCCTGGAACCCCTCGCTGCCCACGGCGTCGACCCGCGAGATACTGCTCGGCGCCGCCGACGGCAACATCTACGAGGCCTCCATCGAGACCACCTCGGAATTCTACAAGAAGGACATCAAGCTCAAGAACCTGCACAAGCTCCCGGATGGACCGATCACGGGACTCTGGGCCGATACCTTGCCAAAACGGCCCGACATGCGGCGGGTGATGATTGCGACGCAGAGCCGGCTGTTTCATTTGGCTGGCAAGGTCGGCAGCGGCCACGACAGCGGAGGCTCGGTGTACACGAAGCTGTTTGAGTCGGAGCAGCCGGTTATCCATGAGCTGTCACGCTCCTCGGCCGCCGCGACGTCTTCGTTGGTCGTCTCGCCGGACCCTCCTGACAAGAACCCGTACGAGGACGAGGCGCATGAACGGGCCTACGCGTGGCTATCTGCGCAGGGCATCTTCCACGGGCAGCTTGCCTCGAGTGCCGAGGGCAAAAAGATATTCAACGAGTCGAGCATGCTTCCGCGTGATAAGATTGGTTCGTCTGACGGACCGGGCAACAAGCGGAAAGCTACGGCGGATTACGTCGAGGCGATTGCTCTGACACAGTGGCACATTGTCAGCCTGATTGGAGGCCGCGTGGTCGCCACGAATCGCCTGACCGGGGAGGTTGTCTATGACCAAATCGTTTTGGACCCCGGGCAGAGGGCTGTGAGCTTGTCTGTGGATCTGCAGAAGAACACGTTCTGGATGTTCACTGCGCAGGAGATTTTTGAAGTGGTCGTCAGGGACGAAGACCGCAATATTTGGCAAATCATGCTGAAGCTGCAACAGTTTGACTCTGCGCTGCAGCATGCGAAGACGCCCGCGCAACGGGAGACGGTGGCGACGTCATATGGTGACCACCTCGTCGCGAAGCGGCAGTACATGGAGGCAGCCTCGGTGTACGGACGTAGCAATAAGCCGTTCGAAGAGGTGGCTCTCACGTTTATCGACAATAACGAACCGGATGCTCTGAGGAAGTATCTACTAGCGAAGTTGAGCACGTCGAAGAAGGCGGCCGTCATGCAAAGAATTATGATTGCGAGTTGGCTGGTGGAGATATTCATGGCGAGGCTCAACTCGCTGGACGACACTATTATCACGCAAGCCGAGTTGGCCGACGGCCTCAACCCGGCACAGTCGAGGGAACAGCTCCACGCAGTCCAGGGCGAGTTCCAGGAGTTTGTCAACAAGTACAAGTCTGATCTCGACCGGCGGACGGTGTACGACGTAATCAGCAGCCACGGCCGGGAGCAAGAGCTGCTGCACTTTGCCAACGCCGTCAACGACTACAACTACGTCCTGTCATACTGGGTTCAGCGCGAGAGGTGGCCCGAGGTGCTGACGGTGCTGAAGAAGCAGACGGATCCCGAGGTTTTTTACCGGTACAGCACTGTGCTTATGACGCATGTTGCTTCGGACCTGGTTGAGATACTCATGCGCCATTCCGACTTGAAGCCTCGCAAGTTGATTCCTGCGCTGCTGGAGTACAACCGCAACTTTGAGGGCACCCCCCAGCAGAACCAGGCCGTCAGATATCTGCAGTACATTATCAACCAGCTCAACTCCAAGGACTCGGCAGTACACAACACTCTTGTTTCGATATATGCCCAGACCTCCAAAGACGAAGCGGGCTTGCTGTCGTATCTGGAATCGCAGGGAGAGGAACCAAACTACGACCCGGATTTTGCCCTTCGCCTGTGTATCCAACACCACCGCACGCTGTCTTGCGTCCACATCTACACAAGTATGGGCCAGTACCTACAAGCCGTCGACCTGGCGCTCTCGCACAACGAGGTTGAGCTGGCGTCCGTGATTGCAGACCGGCCCATGTCCAACCCGCCTCTGCGGAAGAAGCTCTGGCTCGCCGTTGCGCGCAAGGTCATTTCGCAGTCAAACGGCATCAAGACGGCCATTGACTTTTTGAAGCGGTGCGACTTGTTGAAGATTGAGGATCTCATTCCCTTTTTCCCAGATTTTGTCGTCATCGACGACTTCAAGGAGGAGATTTGCACTGCGCTCGAGGACTACGGGCGCAACATTGACTCGTTGAAGAAGGAGATGGACGAGTCGTCGCAGACGGCGACGAATATCAAGGTGGACATTGCCGCTCTGGATCACCGGTACGCGATTGTCGAGCCTGGGGAGAAGTGCTACGTCTGCGGGCTGCCGTTGTTGAGTAGGCAGTTCTTTGTGTTTCCCTGCCAGCACTCGTTCCACTCGGATTGTTTGGGCAAGAGGGTGCTGGAGCAGGCTGGGGTCGGCACGAGTAAGAGGATCCGCGAGCTTCAGGTGCAGATTAGCAAGGGGTTGGTGAATGGTGGCAAGAGGGAGGCTATGATTATGGAGTTGGATTCCTTGGTGGCATCAGCATGGTGGGTCGCACTCTTCTTCCTTTCTCGTCGTGGAGACATGAGCTAACACTTTCTTTTGCAGTATTCTTTGCAGCGAGTTTGCCATTAAGAGGATTAATGAGCCATTTGTGACGCCACAGGATAACCTCAATGAATGGAGGATTTAAAGGGGGGCGTGGTGGCCTTGTCTGGTTTGAAGCACACAGTCTGCTCCTGTCTTTGTGCATGATAGCAAAAAGAAACCTTGCAAGAGCAAGCGTTGTTTTAATGGCTGCAATACCCGGCGTTTCCAAATTCAAGAGTTATATACAGAGATTTATGCTTTATCAGCTATTGACTGTATTTATGTGGTGACGAGCATCTCGCGGTCTGACTATGGTGTCGGGGCGCTGAAAAGTGATTCATTTGAGGCGAGGGGGGAAATATGAGAGCTTCAAGAGCCTGAGCAGTCTGTGACTTGCGTTTGCGAAGTCGAGAGGAGGAGGATGGAGACGATGAGGCCGTAGAGGCCTAGGACCTCTGCGAAGATGAGGATTAGGACCATGCCTGTATATAGACGTGGCTGTTGGTTCGTGGCTCTGACTATGGGTGTGTGTCAGTCTACTGTAACCTTTCTCGCGCCTTCTCTGTCATCCAACCAACGGCTATAGGGGGTATCGACAGCAAAGTGTGAACGAGAAAAAGGGGGGGGAAGAGAGAAAAAGGTTTCACCTCCCGCATCACCCACAATCCCAATAGCGAACCCCGCCGCAAGCCCGCACAACCCAACGCTTATCCCCGCCGCGAGCTGGAGGAAGCTGGTATGCAGCGCCTGCTTCTCGACGAGGCGGTTGGCGATGATGACGGCGGCGACGAGGCCGTAGATGCTGAGGATCTGGGCCATGATGGCGCAGAGGGTGTTTTGCATGAGGCGGTCGGGGCGGAGGACGCCGGCGGCGAAGATGGCCGCGGAGGATTTCGCGGTGCCGTAGGAGGAGCCAAGGACTGTGAAGATTATGGCGGCTATGCAGCCCATTGCGCCGAAGAAGGACTTTTGGTGTGTTTTTTTTCTTGGATTAGCAATATGATTTCAACAAGAGATGGAAGAGAGGGGGGAAGAAGGGGTGACCTACGGAGTATGCTGGACTAGGAGAATGAGGCACGTTAGCCGTGAGGAAGGAAGGTATCGCGGAACTGAGGGGGAGTCACTCTGGGAAAGACGAGGCTGAACGTACCAGCGGTCCAGATTCGCAAAGACGATTTCGTCCATTTTGGTAGTGGTGGTGGTGGTGGGTGATGTGAGGACGGATTGCATCAAACTTTTCGTACTGATTTTAAGCTTATTTGATTCTCAAATATTTTCAGATTTGGCCAAGGTGACGGGGAGCGTGGGGTATATGTAATTGGATCTCTGGTGGTTTATTAGGAGGGCGCGTGGTCACGCATCACAGCTTATATATATATATCATCTACGCTGGTAGCATCGAGGAGGCCTACTATTTTCCTGCATACCACCCACATGCATAGCTTCAAAAAGAGACTTGGTTGCCTAGAATGCAGAATCAGGCTTGATGTATACCTGCTCCCGGTTCATTTCTTGGACTTTATTCGTTGGGCCACTTACAGCCCGCGGTGGCTTGTCACGGACGGGGTGATTAAGGTCCGATCTTATCTTCCCTCCATGACTTGAGGCTGTCGGGCAAGAAGTAGCCCTGCGCGTGGCACGGGTGCTGACATGCCTTACGGATACCTCAGTAGGGTAGGTACATTCAGCTATTCCAGTGAGTATGTCACCATGTACTGTCGACAAGTAATCTCACTCGGAAGGTTGCGGTGGTGGCCGCGGGCGCGTATGATTGGTTCGTGACGGCGATGAGGAAAACCGGAACGGTGTGGGTTTACGTGGCCGGCGCCGTAGGAAGAATAGGATCCACCTTAGCCGGCCGAGAATTGAGAGAGAAGTCCGGAGTTTGTGACGCGACACGTGATTGAACATGTGATCTCGAAGGATGCCGCGCACGGTCCAAGGGGAAGGGGGAGGGGAACACACCCGTCACAGAGATGCTTCTTTTTGGGAGATCTTTAGTTCATGATTCGCTTGCAAGACGAATTGGCTGGCAACCCCTGTTCGGGAGGAAACGAACAAAGTGCGGGCGAGTCAGGGGGTTCTTTACGCGCCAGGTGTGCCAGATAGATGGGCGAGACTTTGAACAAGGACGGCCACCGGGTTCCTCTACGTAGTATCTGGGTCCTACACATACATGATCTGCAACCTTGGGCGGTCCTGTCAGGGGGGTCTTGGAGTCCTGACACAGTGACGCTTTCGAAGTCTAATACCTAATAGCACCTTTCTTTTACCTGTCCCGGTCGACCTTATTTACGGATACCATTATCTTCAATTCTCGGCCCGCGGATGAAGAAAAGCGGGATTGCCCACCTGTTTGCTCCGTACTTACGCATCCACTTCTCGTACGGAGCATCGTACGAAATCATCAGAAATACGACGAATTGGAGAGGCCGACGGACCCGTGGTGCCTCGTCATCCCTGATTTTTTCGTCTCCTGGTACGTCTTGGGAGTCTTGCCTACCTTTTGCAGTAGCGCCGGGACTTGGGTGCTCTTGGCCCGGACGCTGCTTGCGCGCCACATCCCGGCCCCATCGGATCTCGGCATCGGTATGGAGTGGGGGGGAAAAGGAAGGGAGGGAGCGTTTGGACGAAGCGGCGAAGCGCGTGGGTTGGATGACGGGCACTTCCTTCTAGCTCTCCTTCCCGTCCGCCACCTGTCTTTTCTTGGTACCGTCAATGATGTCTCTCCGGATTTCCGGAGTGGCGATGAATGCATCAAACGCAGTCGGGTCTGTCGGCCAGACCAAAGTGAGCTTTGTGAGGCAGATAATTCCTCACCGCGTTGCGCGTTGCGCAATCCATGAGCGAATGTGTGCTGGTGATGCTACGATCCCCGACACCGAGAGACGCAAGCAGGAGTCTTTCTTGGAGGACATGCGGCTCCGGCGGCACCGTGTTGCCGGTGCTAGCTGGCTCTCTGGATCGTGAGACCTGGGTGAAGGTGTGAAGGAGGTGTCGAGTATCGAGTATCACCAATTTTAGAGGTTACAGTTCTTTTTCGTCTTTTGCTGCGTTCGTCGTCTTACCCCATGCTGGCTCGGACCGAGAAAGATGTCTGATTTTATCTGGGAACGCGACGAAGAACACCTCCTCGGCTGGCCTCGAGTCGGGATTCATAGGTACGGATACCCAGATTGGTGTGGCTGACCGGAGCGTAGCGATGTTGGTTCCAAAGTGTCTGATATTCCGCTAGCTGAGACAGAAAAGGGTTCGCTGTTGGTCGGGGGTTACATTGATGCTCGCGTTTCACATGCAGCCATTGTTACCCCTGCCCAGCTGCTGCAACGCAACCGCACCGCACCGCAGTGACCGCACCCGCACCGCCCTCTTTTTGCGCAGCCGCGGTGCAGAAGACACGACAGTTGTGCGCTCTTCCTTCACGGAGTACTCAGAGTGGAAGTGTGACTCTGTATCCGTAGACAGTGAGAGTGAGAGGGAGAGAGGGAATGTGGGAGCAAGGGGGGCTGGGTCGTCTTTCCCTACGGACCTACGGCTACCGGCCCACGCAACTGCAAAAAAAGGGCAGAGCACCGCAAAATAAAGGGGACGGGATGCTTAGAAGGGCAAGTTGCAAGTACGGCCACGCGTCTTTTTCGACTCCGCCTGACATGGCTCACACTCGCTAGCTTCCTTTCTCTTTCTCTTCCCCTTCCTTTCCCGTGGGCCGTTACCAGTGGTAAGAGTGAGTCTGTGATACTTGTGATACCTGCGATTCCATGACCCCCAACCCTGTCATTGAGAAGGTTTGACTCGGGGTCGCCCCGGGCTGGGAAGTCTGGAGACCTCTCGGCCTTCCCCTTTGTTGTCCAACCATCTTGCACCAATTCGCTGCTCCGTCCGTCGATATCCCTTCTTCCCTTCCAAGCCATCCGCTGTAAGCGTGACTAAGTGGTCACTCCGAGTCTCTCTCTCTCTCTCTTGTGAAGAGCGAGCTGCACCCATTCTCGCTACTCCCGGCCTCGTCCAAACACGCTCAACCCCGGACCCTGTCCGCAACCCCCCCCCCCCCCCCCCCGTCAATTCGTCCAGTGCCCCGCCGAGCATGACGACGAGGTCAAGTCTGCGACTGGGTGAGACCTTTTGGACGAGACTGTGGCGCTTGGCAGTGTCAGTTCCCGCCTTGCCCATGGCCCGCGCTGTTGCTGTTTCTATTCCGAGAACAGAGGGACCAGAATTTTGACTTTTGGTACAAAGAAGACTTGCATCTCATCTTTTTGCCTGCTTTTCTAACCCAAGCGCACATTTTGGCTCTGGTCTGCTCTTTTGGCTTCCTCTGTGCTTCCATTGTATTGGACTATTCTGCTCGTGCTTTCTGCAACTTACTCATCCAAGCTGCCACTACCTACCACGGGTTAGTAGTTGCACTACAAGTCTACCTACATTTTCTTAAATCCTCCGGATCGCCGGATTTTCCCACTCACTACGTCTACGCGTGCGCCGAAAGAAAAACAAGAAGACGGCCTTTGCTTTCGTCTTCCCGTCTCTCTAGTCTGGTTTGGTGGTCCGGTGCCAGCTCACCACTACCGCCGCCCCCAATTCGTCTTCATCAGCAACGCAAGCTCCGCCACCATCGCGGGTGACGAATCCTCTCCCCACCGTGCCGTATACCGAGTCCACCCACCCGCGAGTCGCCTTCACCGAACTCCGGAATTTCGCAACCGACTTTTTTCTCATCCTTCTAGTCTTCTTCTTTACCGTCCGTGTTGCGCCATCAATGACTTCATAGCACGACGCCATTCTCTTATATCAACATCCTCCCGTCACCCTTGTCTTGGCGGCCGGTCGATACTCGAGCTCGGATATCGTTCTCTAATTCAAAGTCGTGTAATCTGCTATACACACATACACAAACACAGACTCAAGATGAGGTCAACAACATTAATTGCCCTTGCGGCTTCGCTACTACCCACGGAAGGACTTGTGCTCAGGAAGAGCGAGAGTAGCGCACCAAAGGTGGTTGGGTTGGATCTGCACCGAGCAACGATACCATACACACGCAACAGGAGGGATATGCTGCGGAAGAGAGGTTCAGTGCAAGCGACTTTGGACAACTTGGTAGGTCTACAACTGAACACTTCCAAGTACTGCATCTAACATTTCGTAAGGAAACTTTGTACTTTGTCAACGGCTCTCTTGGAACACCAGCACAGCCTATGCGACTCCACCTCGACACCGGAAGTAGTGATCTCTGGGTTAACACAGCAAGTTCGACTCTCTGCCAAGGCCAAGGCACGCCATGCTCCGTATCCGGCACCTACTCGGCCAACGATTCGTCAACATACAATTACGTCGGAAGCTGGTTCAACATTAGTTATGTGGACGGCTCGGGAGCGAACGGCGACTACGTTACTGACAAATTCACCATCGGCGGATCTACTCTGACCGACTTCCAGTTCGGTGTCGGCTACACGAGTTCATCGGCACAGGGTATCCTAGGAGTCGGATACAAGGTCAACGAAGTGCAGGTTGGGCGTGCCGGTCTAGATTCCTACGAGAACCTGCCCGCCAAGATGGTCTCTCAGGGCCTCATCCAATCTAGCGCCTTCAGCTTGTGGTTAAACGATCTGGACGCGAGCCAGGGGAATATTCTTTTCGGCGGTGTCGACACGGCGCGCTACGAGGGCGAGCTCAAGACCGTACCCATCCAGAAGGAGTCTGGCAGCTACGCCGAGTTCCTTATCACCCTGACAAAGGTGACACTCGGCTCAAAGACGTTGGATGAGAACATGGCCCTCGCTGTCCTTCTCGACTCGGGTTCCAGTCTCACGTACCTCCCCGACGACATGACGACAACAATCTACTCCATGGTGGGCGCGGTCTACCAGCAAGAAGAGGGTGTCGCCTTCATCCCCTGCTCCACGGCCAACTCGGGCTCCAACATGACCTTCACCTTTTCGGGGCAGCCCATCACAGTACCCATCGACGAGCTCGTGCTCGACCTCGTCGCCATCACCGGCAAGCGCACGTCCTTTTCCAACGGCGTCGAAGCCTGCCTCTTTGGCATTGCGCCCGCCGGCGACGGCACCAACGTCCTAGGTGACACGTTCCTGCGCTCGGCGTACGTGGTTTACGATATCGACAACAACGAGGTCTCGTTGGCGCAGACCAAGTTTAACGCCACGAGCACGAACGTGCTTGAGATTGGCAAGGGTAGCGGCGCCGTGCCGTCTGCTGTTGCCGTCGCGAGCGCAGTCTCCGCCACGGACGGTATCGTCCGCGGAGGAAAGAATGCGGCGCCGTCGTTGGCGCCACTGGCGGCCTCCATCTTTGCGGGATCCGTTGCCTTTGCGACTGGGTTCTCGCTCTATCTTTTCTAAACCGAAAAAACAACAAAACCGCATCCTGCTGGGATGGGTTCCGGGGAGCCTAATGTTTCAAACGGTCGATTCTTTTACTTATTCACAGCACTGCATTGCGAGGGCGTTTTTCGGGTTTCTTCTGTTTTTTCAAGATTTTTAACAACCATGGCTGATGTATCTGCATCGAGCAAGGCGTTTTTTTTGTGTGTTTTTTTTGGATATGCATTCACAAGACAGCACTCATTCCTTTTGGAGGAGGTTGAGCGAGGAGTAAGCTACGAAAGAGACGGTCGAGAATTCAAAGAGGCATCAGGCGGACTTTTCCCCCAATGCTATTGAGTAGAACGATAACTACAAGAGATACCTAGAGCCAGAACTTCATCAATGATAGCATTGGCTGATTTAGGCGCGATTCTCTCATCACATTCAATGAACCATTTTCCACGCCCGTGACTCCAATCTGTATCGATGCAGTTCAGCTGCTCCAACCAGTCAAGCCCGTTCCTTTGGACTGTGCACCAACCACGTGCTCCATTTCCATGCGACCAAGTCCATCCATACTCTCCTCTTCATCTGATGTCTCTCTCTATTATGTGTGTGTCTCGTTTGGGTTCTAAAAAAAGAAGTACTTTTCACCACGGGAAACCGACTGTCCGGTTTCCAGATGCTGCTGTTGCCTGTACGCACCTCCTGGCCTGGCCCCTGACAAAGAAAATGCTCACAAGCCACACAAGCTTCTCAGAGAAGCTTGAAAAGGGATCCCGTTCCCGTTTGGCTTGCCAAGACGTTTCTTGCTGATGCCAAGAGGTTTTGGAGTGTTTCCTTGGGTTTTGCGACGGAATGATGCGGTCGGTCTCTCTTTCTCTCTTTGAAGATTGACCCCCTTTCTGGTGAGGTACGACGAGGGGGTTGTAGGAGAGGGTGAGGGAAACAAGGGGAAGGGTTGCCTCATTTTTGGATGTTGTTTTGGAAATCACGATGGTTAGGGATCTGTGTAGTGTAAGGGGATCGAATTGGTTTGGATTTTTTCGTTGACGTGGTGAAGTTGAGATCGCGAGCTTGCGTTTCTGCTCAGGTTGAGTCTTTTCAGGCGGGGGGAAGGAAGCAGGATGCTGAAGCGGGCCGCCGAACCCGGGGGACGGAATCAAGCAAACCTCAAGAAATTTCCAGAAAAGGGTCCTTGATAGTCTTGCTCTTTCCAACACCGGCGCCCTCTTCTTCTTCTTCCGAATCCAAAGAAGTAGCAGCAGCCGGGATGTAAGCCCGGATCACCTCATCAACATACCCCCGCGGCAAGCCAAAGCGCTCCGTCGCCTCGTCGACGCCGCGGTTCATCCGGTCAATGTACTCGTCCCACGGCGTCGAGGGTTCGGTCCTCTCGGTGTCGACGTAGACTAGTGCCGTGACGTTGCTTCCTGGTGTGAGATTGACGGCGGCGGCAGTGCCTGCGGGGGTAAAGTTCACCACTTTGACGGCGAGCTCTTGCTTTTGGTAAGAGTGAGGGACGCCTTCGCACCTGTCGAGGGTTGCTTCGTCTTGGGGTGGGAGGGCGTAGAGGATGCCGTAGACGCCCGGAGCCGGGGCCGTATCAGTGGTTGGTGCGGCGGAGAGGGGATGCGGGGCGTCGACGGGGCCGTTTGGGACGACGTTGGCGTAGCGGCGGGAGTTTATGACGAAGGTGTGGTTTGGGAGGTGGGCTAAGCCGAGGGGCGTGGAGGCGGGGCAGCGGAGGGACATTTGGGTTGGGGAGAGGTTGGAGCCGTAGGCGAAGTAGAGGCGAGGGGGCGATGTTGTGGCCATTTTGTCGTCGGTGAACTTGGCTGTGATGTGGTGACGGTGATGGTTGCGGTTGAAATATTGTCCAAGATGTTGTGGTTGTGCGGATAGCGGTTGTCGTTCCGACAAGGAGTTTGGGGGTTGAGGGCGCACTGGCGGAAGTTGTCGAGTATTTGTTGCTCTTCACTTCTCTTCTACATCTCTCCGACCTGAAAAGACAATTGGTCGCCGAAGTTGATGTTTTTACGTTGCGCGTGAGGGGGGGGTTGATGAGCGCCCCCCAATATATGGTGAGATGGCTGAGAATTAGGCAGCTAGCACGCCACAGGTCGATGGTCTCAGGTGTGGGGGAAAGAGGGCACTGGTGAAATCGACCTGTCTACCTCCTGTAAGTCATCGCACTTGTCTCGTCATTCTACCAAAATTTCGTCCTGTCGCTATTGCCTGAACCTGCAATCCTTTACTCTCACCCCAAAGACTTTCTGCGATTTCGAAAGTCGGTCTCGCGTATCGTTACCTACGGTAGGTACCTAAGACAGACATCTCTGTCCGGGGAGCCAATTAGTTCAACACGGGCCGAAAGTGGGGCCGAAATTCGGTACGGCACGGCGGTAGCGGCACAAGTGCCTCACATCGTCATTAAGCATTATCTAGTATGTATATATCCGTACATCACTCATATAGCCCTCTCTCTCATTTCTTGCATCATGTCGTCAACGTCAGAATCTATGATCCCCTGATCTATGACGAAGCAATGATTTCAGCAGCCTGCTCGGCGAGAGCGTACACTGCGGCCTGGATGTGAGCCGTGATGATTGTCGGGAACACGGAAGCATCCACAACACGAAGATTGCTAACGCCCTTGACGCGCAAATCGCTGTCGACAACCTTGCCCATGGCACATGTGCCCATGGGATGGTACGTACCGCTTGAAAGACAAACGCGTCAGTTAAGTGGGAAAGAAAGCACAGCGCATCAAGTGGGGGAGGCAGTTCACTTACATGACGGAAGCACGAATGCGCTCCTCAATCTCCTCGTCCGTTGACTCAAGCGTAAACGGCTTCAGACCCTCCGGCGCCGCCTCAGCCTCGACGATCCCCTGGCTCAGCGGCGACTCACCGCCAATCATCATGCGCGTCATCCGGCGGATTGAGTCGCGCCACACGAACCGATCGACCTCGGACCCGAAGAAGTTGGGGTCGATGAGTGGGGCCTCACGAGGGTCCGCAGAGCTGAGCGTCACGGCGCCGCGGCTTGTGGGGTGGAGACCGACGTTGGCGGTCGTGAGGTAGGTGCTGTTGGACGGGAGGGCCGGGTTCGTGTTGACGTAGAGTACGAAGCCTTCCATGAGTGTGCGCTCGTTCTTGAGGAGCGGGTGCGTAGCTGCGTCGGGCGCGCTGCCTTCCTCCTTGGTTATGGCGGCGACGAGGCCCTCCTTGTCTTCCACGCCAAAGGAGGCGACAAAGTTGTTGGGCTGGCCGAGGCCGTACTGCGGTTGGAAGAAGAGGGAGTTGCCCGAGTCGACGGTCGAGTTGCGATACTGGGGGGAGAGACGCCAGTTGTAAGTGAAGAAGGCGTGGTCGGCAAAGTTTTTGCCGACCTCGGGCGCGTCGAGCTTAAGATCGATGCCGTGCTTGGCCAGCTCGTCGGATGGGCCGATGCCGGAGAGCATCAGCAGCTGCGGCGTGCGGTAGGCGCCAGCGGCGGCGATGATCTCCTTACCGAGGATCTCCGTGCCATTAGCGAGACGGACGCCAGTTGCGACGAGGGCGCCGGCGCTGGAGTTGGAGCTGTTGTCGCTGCGGAAGAGGATCTTCTCAACAAGCGTGTCTGTCATGACCGTGATGCCGTCGAGGGGGTAGTACTCTGACGCGATTTGGCGAACGCCGTTGCGGCGGTTCTCCGCAATCTCGCCAAAACCGAGGTTCTGGCCGGCGTTGGCGTCCAGGCCCGGGAGGGCCTTGATGCCGACGGACTCGTACGAGGCATAGACGGCGTCTCTCAAGGGGTAGACGCGGCCCGTGACCGAGGGCACCTCGACCTTTAGAGGTCCGTCGTACCCGTGCTCGTCTGCATTGACGTCGGTCCAGTACGCCTCGGAACGCTTGAAGAACGGCAGCTGGCTGTCGTAGCTCCAACGGGAGTCGTTGACAAGGTCGGCCCACTCGTCGTAGTCGACGCGGGCACCACGCATCCATCCACCTGAACAGGGAGTCAGCATTTTGGACATGTATTTTCACTGTACACTACGTTGGTTTGGTGACGACTTACATGTGTTGATGAGGGAGCCGCCGCCGAGACCCTTCCCAGCAGCGCTCTGGATGACGCGGTTGTTGAGCTGAGACTGCGGCGTGGAATAGTAGTTCCAGTCAAAGTCGCCCGAGATCAGGTTGGTCGAGTTGACGTAGAGAATGTCCGTCCGCCCAGCAGCGCTACTGCCAGCTTCAATGACGAGGATCTTGGCCGTGTTGTTGAGCGCCAAGAGCCGGCTCGAGACGACGGAGCCAGCGAGGCCGCCGCCGACGACAATGTAGTCCCAGACGTCAGTTGGTAGCATGATTACCGGATGTGTGTGTTCATATGCAGGGTAGCGGCACGTAAAACAAATATTTGACGCAACGATTTCGAAAGGGAAAACTTGGCGCAAGTGTGATTGATGCTGCAGACCGGGAACCAGGAGACTGGGACAGAATTGTGACGAACCGCTGCAGAATGCAATGCAGAGAGGATCGGGCGTAGGGGAAAAGGGGAAAGACCTCACACACGAACCAGACAGACGCCGGAGCCGCTTCTTTTTAAGAGTAGATGCATCGAGAGATATCACGCACACATCGCCAGTCAACGTCCCCCTCCGAGGCTCCGTTCTGCGGCCGTTGTGGGACTACTGCCATGTGGAACTCGGCGCAATTTTGGACATTTCGATATCGCAAAAGAGGCCAGGGCCAAAAAGGTGGCTCGGGTACGGCGGGTGAGCGACATCGACAGATCAAGAGGTTTCTTCCCCGTTGTCCCCATTGAAGGGTTCCACCAATATTCCTCCTCCACGGGGAACCTTTCCGGGTGAAGCTCTGTCGTCTGCTTTGACCGGGTATCTGACTAGTTGACAGAGGGCATTGAGTGGGCTCATGAGTCGATCGAGTGGTGTTCAAGGATCCGGAGTTGTGGAGTTGGTTCGGACTAGGTTACCGAAAGCAGAGACCACTCGTTCTGCGGTCCGTCATCCCCTGTTCCCTACTACGTGAATAGGGTTATTGTGATGATGGAACTTGGCTATTGATCGGCGTAACTAAGTTCACTACATCAAATGGATCTACTGCAACTCTATGGTTGCCGCAGCATATTATGGTATCTTCAGCGGACAGGCAGAACTAACGCTGGTTATGCTTATTCTTCTTCAAAACATACTCTCGTTGGTTTGAGATAACTCGGCATGCCGTCTTCTTCACGCGGACTAGCGTGGCTCCATCGCACTTTTGGAGCGGGCCCTATTTCAACATCCCAGCTTCATGCAGAGCGCAAGCACAGGAAGCCTGAGGGAGCTCTCATTCTTTGTATCCGTATTGCACAATCGTATCACCATGTGGGAATGCTCGCGCTCCATTTCCATGGTATCCCTCTCGCGGTACGGAGTATTGTGATATCTAATCATTGCCACGCGGGATCCCAGTGTGTCCGCCTCTCGCATCATCCGAGACCCATCGGCCGGTGAGCCATGACCAGAACCCGGGTTAGTTTCGGGTAGCCAAGAGGAATGAGGCCTGTTGGTCCCCCCCTGCTAGGAAAGTCTTTGCTTTTTCCCCCTTCTTACGGATAGAACTGCCACATCTCGACGTCTTGACTCGATCATGCATATGTTTTATCCGCATGAAGAATGTGGATCACCCGCCATGCCGCTGCAGAAAGGAGGTTGACGGACTTGTTAAGCCGTCAGACTCCCCATCTTGTCTGGTGCGGCTATCTGTGGTAGTTGAGGATTGGATCTCAGCCACCATACACGCCGTCGTGTGAGACGACACAAATTCTACGATGAGATTAAGCGGTGCGCTCTTTGCTCGTCTAGCCGTACCGACGAATGCTACCGTCCGGCCAGAAGATATCATCCAGACCGAAATCGTGCCCCTTTCCAACCGAGCGGTCCCCATTGTCGTCGTCAACGTACTTCTCACCTTCGCCACAACACTATGGACGGGCATGCGATTATACAGCCGGCGGAAGAAGGGACAGTCGTTCACCATTGAGGATTTCTTGACTGTTGTTGCTCTGGTAGGAGACGACATGGTCGCAAGGCACTTTGAAAGTGGCTGACAACATAGCAGATTGCATTTTATGGACTAGTAGCCTGCAATTTTGTCAGTAAGTGGAATCGCGAAGTTCCACAGAGTTGACCTATGCTAAAGGGCGGTTCTAGTGGTCTACCTAGGAGGAACCGGGCATCACTACTTGACACTCCAGCCATATCACGTCGAACGCATGTCAAAGGTCAGCCCGTCAATATGTCAACAATTTACCCCTGACCATGCCTTTTGTCCTCTCGCAAAGAAGCACCAACTAACAACACACCACTCGAGGGGTAAGACAGGCCGCATACGGTGTTCAAACCCTCTTCGCCATCTGCCTCGGCTTCATCAAGATCGGCATCACCCTCATGCTCCAGCGTGTTTTCTTCGTGCGGAGCTTCAAGATCGCGGCTCGTATCACCACGGGCCTCTGCGTCTGCTGGATGCTCTTCACCATCCTCATAGGCATCTTCATCTGCCAGCCTGTGGCCATGAATTGGAACCCGACGACGCCTGGCGGCAAGTGCGGCGATCAGAATGCCGCCTTTGCCGCTGTAGGCTACTTTGATCTCGCGACGGATCTTATTATCCTCGTGCTGCCGATACCCATGGTCTACAACCTGCAGCTGCGGTGGCCGCATAAGGTGGCTTTAAATATCATCTTCGGCGCAGGCGCTCTGTGAGGGAACCCCCAGCTTCCTCGTCCTCGAATTTTTATGCTGTGATATGGATGACTGACGAAAGCTCGTACATCTTCTACAGAACCATGATCTTCGCTGCCCTACGATTGAAGAATGTCTTGACAATGGACTTCACAGACGTGACCTACTCCCAGGTCGGCGTCGTGTTGATGGGAACACTCGAACCCGGCGTCGCCATCATAGTCTCGAGCAGCCCCCTCCTGAAACCGATATTCGACGCCACCGTCGGCCGCTTCTGGTCCATCCGCGGCGGCACAACGAGATCCGCCGGCGGCGGCGGCGGAGCGGGGCCAGCCTCCGGAAAACCGACCACCCTCCAGACAATTGGCCAATCTGGACTCCTCGGGTCGAAGCTATCTAGAGCCGGGGGAGGCAGATTCAGTCAGATGCACTCGACACACAGCGACGACGACGATGATTTGGAGCTGGACAGGCTGCGGGAGAAGAAGCATAACGTAGCTGTCATGGTGGCCAACGGCAACCCGTCAGAGGATAGTGTTGTGAGGGACTTCAAGAGAAGAGGTGATGACGATACTTCGGGCTCCGAGGTTGGCATTTTGGTGACGAGCAAGACGAGTGTTGTGAGCGAGGCCAGGGGGAAACCGTTGTAAGCTCATGATGTTTTAGTCTCACGTTCGGCTTAGATCAAGACTTAATCGAGATCTCGCACCACCATGAAGTGGGAAGACTAGTGTTTATCAAACGTGAGCCATGAAGGGAAGAAAAAGGCAGTGAAAACTTTGGCCTTTCTCTATTTCTTGATAAAGGATGGGATGTGGGACTGTAACAGCGGAAACACTTGGAAGGACATGGGGGACTAAATGGAAACGTTCGAAGCTCTGACGGTGATATTTCAAAGCGAAAACCTCGTCCATTTTGACCTTCAAAAGAAGAGATTGATGTATTCATTGAGTAGTGGAAAGCTAGAGCTTGAACGACCAATTGCTTACCGTACGGACTGGGAGCTGCCGGATCACAAGGAGAGCGTGGGGCCGCCTGTTGGGGATTATATTACATGAAACTATTTGCTTCCAAACTTTGAGCTGTCACTTGTGCGCAGCTGGTGACTTCCTCATGTCCCTCTGTCCAGCGGCCAGCCAGTTCCTATGGCTGTCAGATTCCCTATCTAGCCGAGATGACAAGCACGTATCGCCCAACATCTACTGCCTCACACGGGAGACAGGTGATTTTTACCATGTGCAAGAACAGGGGCTTAACTTTGCACTATCGATTCAGAACCCAGTTCCTCAAACTGAGTACATCCACGCCTAGTGGTCACGACCATAAGCACTATCGTGGTGGTGCCAGAGACCTCGCCAAATACTCCCCTACAAGATTTCGCTGGCCTCCGAGCTTTGATACTCTGAGTACTTGGAAGGAAGCGCAAGAAGCTTGCAGAGGGCGTAGAGATCTGCAGGTTTGCCCTTCTCCGGCTCGAGATCTTTTCACAGGTGCCGCGGGGCCATGCCATCCCGATGATGGTCGCTATAAGACGGCCCACCCAGCATTGATGAAGTTTCATCTTCTTGGAGCTGTGCGCTAACATTGTATTCGACAGGGCACATCCGCACCAGCATAGGATGATGGCGCTGGTTATGTGTAGGAGGTTTCCCCTCTTCATCTACCACATTATCGTGGAGCACTTGAGATGCTACCTTACTCGTGAGCAAGGTACGTTTCTGGAACCCTTCATCCTTGGTTCAAGAGTCTACACTAGCTGTGAAGGATATACGTAGGATCGGTAATGCGATAGCATTAGGTCTTGGCGTTGGAGACTCGAGGTAGCAGTCTGAAAGTTTCTAGCACATTGCTAGTAAAACACCTCACCCTTCATCAGCACCCGAGCCGTGCGGCGAAGATCCGCCGACACAATCTTGCCATTGTCGAACGTGGCCCCTATATCCACCTTGCCGCTCGGGTGCCCAATGACGACAGACTCCTTCGCACAGCGACCACTCACGAGCTCCGCGGGGATCGTGCCGGGCATCTGACTAGCAGCCCCGAGACACAGCGCAAGCGTCAACGGCACAGCCTTGTGCGCCTGTCCCATGGACAGTGCCAGACACCGGATATCGACGTCATCCGCGTGCGTCTCAGAGAAGAGCAGCACGATCTTGGGCACGCTCTCCACGTCCGGATTTAGACCCATCATCGATGCCCCCGCGCGCCGGATCCCGTCCAGCTTGGCCTTGAGCACGGCGTCCGCCTCGACGGCCTGCGGCGTGAGGTCTTCGGGCGAAGGGATGCCTAGGTCGGCGGCTCGGACAAAGACGCCCGGGTTGCTGACGTCGACGAGCGAGGCCTGGATGGTGCTCGCATCCGGGAGGAGGAGCCAATCGCGGGGGTTTCCCGTGGGAAGGGCCTTACCCGTCTTTGCGCCGGCCGGGTCCAGGAAGCTGAGGGTGATGGGGGAGGCTGTACCGGGAACGCCGTCCATGATGTAGGCGCCTTCTGGGGCATATTTGGGTGAGTTGGTTCCGTCAACGACGACCTTGAAGCGCGATGAGATGACTTTGGATGTGTTGGTGTTGAAGATGCGCACGGTAGCGAACGTCTGGCCGTCGGCCCCTTGTTCAAGGCGCGGGTTTGAGATGAGCCCTTCATCCAGGCTCATGGGGCCGACTGTCGAGGAGAGGTTTCCGCAGTTACCTGCCGTGTCGAGGCTGCCGTCCTTGATGCCGACTTGGACAAAGGTGTAATCCACGTCGACGTCGGGCCGCGAGGGCGGAGATAGTACGACGATTTTGGAGGTTGATGAGATGCCTGAGCCCATTCCGTTGAGCTGACGGCCGTAAGGGTCTGGAGAGCCCATGGCGGCGGGTAGTACTTTGTGCCATTCGTTTTCTGGCGGGAGGTTGTGTCTATGGATGACGAGACCGTTGGACGTTCCGCCGCGGACGAAGAGTGCGGGAAATGACCGTGATGAATAGGGGCGCGTCGATGACATGTTTGAGGAGAGTCTAGATAGCGCAGAAGAAGCAGCGCTCTTGGTATTTCTCAAGAGACTGCGATTGAGTTCTTGTAGAATCATCTTGGCCAATAATTGTGACAATGAACACAATTGTTGTTGTTGTTGATGTTATAGAAACGGATAGTTCTTTGCGGTTGCTTTCCGCATGATTTCTTACCCACTACGCGGGAAATGTCCGTACGTGGGCCACTTTAAGCCACGCTCACGCGGCGTGGCGCCCGCTACAGGGGTTGTGTACCACTAAAAGCCGTTAAGCATCGCCAAGCCGGAAGTAAACGAGGAGGGTCCCTGCAGCGATGCTATCAAGAGCATCACACATCGTCCCTGCTGCATTGTGAGCAACTCACCATACTGTGACTTGCAGAAGTACTCAATATCACGTCGCACGCGGTTAGGTCTCACGTAGGATAAGAGCTTTGAGAAGAAGAAGAGAGCTTGGAAAATTCATTTACCAAGTTAAGAACCACGGCGTCCGGATGACTGATTGATCGGCCGAGTGCTGACCGAATCGGCACCGAAACTATTCAAGTTCAAGCCACTCGGGTCTGAGGCTTGTAAGACCGTCTGAAGTCGGGCATCATGTCCGCTAAGCTGGAGATAAGCATGGACATACGAAATAGGCGTTTCGGGTTGCGGAAACAAGCTTAATCATGGTTATTGAGAACGGTGGATAAATGATGTTCATAGTCCCCCTCCCCGTCTCATCTTATCTTGCATCGTCACTACAGCCACGTTTTGAACCACAATACAAGTAGCTATCAATCAATCAATCACGCTTCATTTCATTACGCATCACAGAAAACCTACAGCCGCCAGAATGAATCCGTACGTCGAAGTAACCCTGAGTTGGCTCCTCAAGAACTCCCGCGCCCACGACGCCAAGTCCTTTTATACGTCCCCCGCCTTCGCCTCTCACACAGAACAGACCATCACCGTCACGTCGCCAGACTGCGGCGCGTCTCCCGCAACATTGGGTCCGGAGTACATCACAGAAGGCGGCGGCCGTATCCCCGCGCTCTCGTGGTCCGCGCCGCTGGAGCTCGAGTCAAAGGTGAAGGAATGGCTCATCGTCGTTGAGGATCCGGATGCGCCGCTGCCGACGCCCATCTGCCATGGGTACGTTAACGCACGAATCCACATCAAACCTGATATTTCGAAGGAAATTGCTGACTTGCTGATTACAAGCGTCTATGGCGGAATCGCGCCTGAGAAGAAACAGGTGAACCCAAAAGACTTTGAGATTGAAGACGAGAACAAATCTCTCTTGAAGGGAGGTTTTCATTGGGGCAAGGGGCGTAGGGAGGGCGTGTATGTTCCTCCACGGCCTCTCATGAATCATGGCACCCACAGATGTGAGTCTCAATTTTTCTTACAATGAGATAGAACCGCGAGATTGATTGTCACAGACTTCTTTCAAGTTGTGGCTCTGAGTGAGCCGTTGGATAAAACGATGCTGGAAGCTCGAGCTACTAGGGAACAGGTCGCCGAAGCCATTCAGGGCAAGGTGCTAGGTTGGGGAATGTGGATTGGAAGCTGTGAGAGGAAGTGGACATGATGTTCAAGATGAAGATTTCCAGTGTTTAGTGCCATGTCTACGATGATTATGAAGTGTCTTATGGGGTGCGTTCAGATACTTTGATGAGAATATGAGCATAGTAACGCTTGATGAGATTGTCGATGTGAATAGGCGGTGTTAATGAGAGGTGACATTCAGCCGTCTTTCTCAATACGGCAGTGAACCGCGTTGACGTGCTGCAAAATTAAGCGCGCAGCATCCTCCGACCCCAGGGTCGTGACATCCAAACACATCTCGTTCTCATCTCCAAACTCAAAGATAGTTTCCATGTCCCTGACCTTTCTCAGGATCTTGCCGTCAGTCAACTTGGTGTTGCTGGTCGCCCCATCACCCCCGACATACCTCCGGCCTGCAAGTCTCTTGACATTCTCATTCAGTTCACAGCGTAACACGACCGAGATGAACGGTACGCCCCTTCTCTCGGCAGCCGCCTTGTGATCTCGGGCAGCCCCGCTGCCCAAGGGACTAGACTCCCGCGCGTCTGTGAAGATGAAGGTCTTGCCCGCCAGCGCGGGATGTGTGGCGATGGAGTCGAGGGCATGTTTGCGGAATGAGGTTCTCAGATCGTTGTAGGACTCGGCATCGTCTCGGTCGAGCATTGCGGTGACAGGGTCGATGACCAGGTGATTGTGGAAGACGCGGCTGCCTGAGATTAGTTTGGAGAGGGCGTTGGCGACGGTGAGTTTGCCGACGCCCGGGTAGCCGTTGATGTAGATGAAGCAGACCATCGTCTTGTGAATAGTTCTCATTACACATAAATTGCTGGGCAAGGGCTTTACCAAGATGACCAATGTGATTATCGGCCTGATTTGAAGGTGCAAGGTGAGAGCTTTCTCCGATGAAGGTGGCTTACACAATAGCGCTTGTCTATTTTACGACCAGGCTCACTGCAAAACCTTCGAGGCAGTTGCGCTTTAGTGACTCACCAAGGTAAAGCCAAACTTCGCCCATCCACAGCCTACCGTAAAGCGTAGTGACACAATTCGATGGAATTATTGTTTTATTTTTATTTTTTTATACTTTACCATGTCTCCAGCTTTACGGGCCATATCTATACAAGGTAGTCAATGGAACAGGCGTGCGTTAGTCTGAAGCGACCCAGTCTAGGATCGTGGCGCCCAGGTATTAGGTGTGTATTGAGTGAGTAAGTTGAGTGCTACACGACATGCGCCTGACTCGTCGCCTCTGTTGCAAAACACCACAAACTTCTCGCGATGACCCAAATAGTAGATCGAAAGAAAGTCGTTGGCTTTGATATCGGCTAGATGGCAGATTAAAAGTGCTTAACTCAAGGTAGAAGGAGGTACGGACAACGTCCGCGATGAGACCGCCATTGAATCCTTCAGAAATCGTAAGCGCACGTGATCGTCTCCTCTTTCTCTGGTTGCGGTCGCGCCTGTTCTCCCAGCATTTCTCATCAAACCGCACTCCTCCTCACCTTTCTTTTGCATTGCCGAAACCGCGCCGAGTTTCCCATTCTCCTCTCTCCACCTTTGCCATCAACAACTCACACAACCACAGCAGCTGCCAGCAAGTGAGCCAGACAATCAGAGCGAGCACCCACAACTGCGCCAGAATCGGCTCATTTAAACACAAAGAGGCGTTTAAACCTGACAAGGAGGCAGAGCGCACGCACGCACGCGCGCACCCTACCCTTACTTGATGGACCCGCCGCTCAAGAGCCCCGCGTCGGCACAGAGGGATACCTCGCCCAGCCCTCCAGTGCCGAACCGGATCCGGCGCAATACAGCCTGCACGAGCTGTCGCGACTCCAAGGTAGGCTTCCTCTCGCTTTTTCGTCTTCTCCCTTTTTGTACGGATACATACCTTTCACACACACCCTGGACCGGTTCATCTTGTATCTGTTCCCTCGTCCCCTTGCATGGCTACCTTCCCTCGTGGTGTTTTAATCTTTTAACCATTCTGCTGCCACACATGTCGCGCATGCTCCGTGCCCTTCCAGCGCCTCTCCCGGTTCTTGTTCCCATTGGATCGCGGTTGGCATCCGGGACTCGGGAGGGACGGAATGGGGGGGGGGCCACCTCGTCAGGTCCCCTGGGGCGCATCATGCAATGTCAGCAAACGTGCCGAAGACGTTCTGTTCCTTCGACGTTCTGTTTCTGCATTTTCGTTGCACTGCTACACCAAACATGACATCCCGTATGCTAACTGAATGCCTTTGGACGGCTGGAAATAGGTCAAGTGCAATGCGAGCTACACGCCCAACAAGCCATGTCAACGTTGCTCTAAGCTCGGCATACAATGTGTCATTGACAAGTCTCACAAGCGAATGACCAGAAGAAGGTGGCTTCCCTTTTCCTCTCCTCCCTGCTCCCAGCCGCGCCTTGCCTGCCTTGCAATACTCTGTGCCCCATATGTGTCCATCCAGCAAAAGATCATGGTCTAACTCATCCGCCCTGTGTGTGAACATCAAACAGTAAACTAGAACAGCTCGAAAAGGAAGTCCAAACTATCAAGAATGCCGTCAACCCGAGCCCCGTCTCCGCCACCGGCATACTCCCCCCGGCCGCTCTACCCCTGCCGCTGCCGAGCCCGAGTACCGCCTACCCCGGAGCCGCAAGCGCCTTTTCGGACCACCGGCCACCCCCCTCTGCGTCGAGGATGAGCCTGCCGGCATTGTCTCCCGTTCAGCAGGCTCGCCAGCCAGAGCAGGTCCCGACGCCGACCCTCACGTCTCACACGACGCCCACGGGTCCTGCGAGGCAGCCCGCGCAGCCGAGGGCCCTGGGTTCCAAGGTCCTTTCTGGGGAGGATATTGACTTTTACTTTGACCAGTGAGCTACCTCGACCCCTCTTCCTACTTTATTCCCCTTCCCTCAGCGTGTTATCGTATCAGAGAAGCAGACGCTGAGAGGTCATGTGAAAAAGCTACTTCGAGCACTTTCACCCCTACTTCCCCATAGTCCGCTCCCAGGACCCAGACAAGCTCTACAAGCAGAGCCCGATCCTCTTCTGGACCCTCATCGCCATCTCCTCGCGGCGATACACCCGCGACGCCGGTCTCTTCCCCTTCCTCATCGAGAACCTGCCCCGCGAGGTCTGGGCCGCCGTCTCGAGCCCGCCCATCACCATGTCCACCGTCGACGCCCTGCTTGTTCTCTGCACATGGCCCTTGCCCTCCATCCGCTTTCTCAACGACCCGTCGTCCTCGTACGTTGCCATCGCGCAGAACGCCGCGCTGCTGCTGGGCTTGCACACGGGCCGCGGGACGCATCCCGAGTTTTGTATAGGGCCTAACCGGCAGACTGATATTACTGACGAGGAGGCGTGTTTTACGTGGATGGGGTATAACATCCAGGCTCAGAGGTATGTCTTTGTTCTTTATAAAAGTCTGTGATTCAGTTCTGGCGAATAGGTTCTGACCACATGATATAGAGTCGCCTCGAGTAATGGTTTCCCGCCTCCGGCCGGCTTCTTCAACGAAGCCGTCAACAGGGCTGCCGGCGGGCGATCTCTCCCCGATGCTCTGGGGTATTTTGGCCTACTGTATGAGATGCAAAAGTTCTCCAACAGGCTGAGCCGAACCGTCTTCTCCGTCGCCGAAGAAGGAGAAGGCGTACCGGACACCGTCATTCAGCTGTTGGAAGACGAGCTGAACAAGCTGAAGCAGCTACAGGCTCGACACAACTCTGGTTCGTAGCAACTGATTCTCTTTTGCTTCCCCCTCTTTAACCACAACGTGAAGCTACCTTTGCTGATAAACACAGACCTCGACCTCTTCACCATCCTAGCAGTCCAATTCGAGCTCCAATCCTACTACTTCATCCCCCTCTCCACCGTAGACAAACCCACCTTCCGCCATAACGTAAACCGCGCCTACAGCACAGCCCAAGCCCTCATCAACCTGTCATTACGCCTCGAGTCCTCGCACCGCTTCCTCCTACACGCCCCGCAACACGTCTTCCGCACCATCCTCGACGCCGCCGCCGTGGTATTCGACGTCCTCGTCTCGGGCCACGCCACGGACGTCGAGCTCGCCAACGCAGACGTGTCCGTCAAGAACGCGCAGGAGGCTCTGCGGCGGTGTTCTGTGCAGGAAGGTGATTTCGCCATGCGCGTGCTGCGCATGTCGGAAAGTTATTGGAGTCTGAGGCACATGATGCCCAAGCTGGAGGCACCTATTTCGCAGTATCCGCATCGCACGGGTGCTGTCATTGCGTTTGGGACGCTAAGGAGGTGGAAGAAGGAGCTTGATCAGGCGAGGGTCGGGCAAGGCGGGCCCGGGGTCGGTGGTGTTGGTGTTGGTGGAGGAGGGGGCGGCGGAGGAGGCGGAGGACAGGGTACGGGGGCGGGGGGCACGGCGTCGACGCGTGAGTGCAGGGGCGGTCGGGGGTTCGGTGTGAGTGTTGCTGACCTTGTGGTAGCGGCGGCGACGGATGCGAACGCGAGCGTCGTGCCGACGAGTGACCCGCTGCAGGATATCGACTGGTCGATGCTCATGGACGACTTTGACTGGACGGCCGGGGGCGGAGGAGAGCCGAATTTCCTTGGTCTTTCATAGTAGGTGTCGAGTGCCTGTGAGAAATGCGGCTAACGTGTACGTGCGTTTCCCTTGATATCTTTCTTCCTCTCAGTCCCTTCTTTTCTGCAAGCAAGCCGGAGCATTTTGGTGGCTGGATATCTTTGCATCATTTTGGGACGTACATTGGGGAGCTATATCACTTGAGAAGGGGTTCTGAGGAATGACGTTCATGTTGTCATGCAAAAGAACAGACTGAGCAATTTTTAATGACATATCGCGAACATATATTGAAGCTATCGTGCTATAATAACATATCCGACTCATGACATTTCACTCTATCCTCCCAGTGCTCCAAATATTCAGCCCGACCTTGACGCCCTTCTTGACCGGCAATCCGGCATGCCACGTCTCGTCATACCCGGCACCGCTCCCGTCAGCACGGAAGTTCTCCCAGTAAACCGCGTTTCCCGGGACAGGCTTAAAGGTAGTCCCTTTGCCCTGCTCATCATTGCCCAGATTCTTCTCATCATCACCAGCAACACCAGCATCACCAGCATCTCTCCCACCGCACTCTACAAACCGACACCAAACCTCCCTCTTCAACCCACTCACCTCCAACAACGGAAACTCCGTCCCGCCACCAACCAACCCTTCCCCGTTTCCCGTCCCGGCAGGCATCTCGTTCTCATCCTCCCCGCCTCGAGCGTCGACCCACGCCATCATACTACTCACCCGGCCCCACCCGCTGCGGTTGGCGGTCCAGTCGAAATGGTACGAGTAGTGCCCGCCCTCGACGTACCGCTGCGTCCGCAGCCTCTCGATCCAGAGATCCTCGCGCCAACCCTGCAGGGCGCGGGCGCGGGCCTCGATGCAGCGGACGGTGTCGTCGCGCGGGAGGAGGGCGACGTCGGAGGAGCGGATGGAGGTGTCGCGGTGGGTGTTTGCGCCGTTGTGGGTTATTGTTGAGGGTTCGAAGATGGGGTTGCTGGGCGATTGTGTGAGTGAGATGAGGGGATTGAGATGCGTGAGGTGAGGAATTGAGGGGGAGGGCTGGTTTCACTGAGTTTTGAGTGTTGTGGATGTTGATGAAAATGAAATGTTCCTGAGAGGGGGCATGGATTCATTTTTCATCTCATCGGCATGTAGACAAAACGTATATGAGTGCATGTTTGTGTAACATGACATTTTTCACTCGAGGAATTGAGAAGAGTCGGGAAACAGTAAGAACATACCTAATCTCAAGTAGATGCTTCCGTTCCTCCACACTCAAAAACCCTTCAATGTACAACACCAGCGGCTCCTTGGAAAATATGCGCACAGAGTAGTTGTCGGGCGGGCACGACAGGGCCGTGGCGTTGGCATGTTCGATGGCCAGCAGGGACTCGTTCATCTGCGGCCGGGGCGTGCGGGCCACCCGGCTCCGGCTGCTTGTGCTTCGGCCATCGGACGAGGAGAAAAAGTTGACGAGGGGGTCGGAGAAGAAGACGAGGAAGGCCACAAGGGCGATGACGTAGGAGATCATTGTTGGGCTGAGGTGAGATGCATTGGCGGCCTTGGGGTTCGGTCAATTGGCAATGCTTGGATGTGACTTCTTTCGAGATGAAGAGGTAACAAAGTGAAGAATTGAGATATGTCGTTGAGATAATCAGGCGATTTTCATGTTGGAGGCTTCCGCGTCGCACGTATCGGCTTCTGCGGTGTTGGTTGTTAGGGGGGGGGGGGGCTCCGCCACAGCCGGGCCGTGCAGATCTGCGGCACACTGTAAGGAGCTGGGAATATGCGAGATGATCCTTATTTCATCTTCAACTGCCTCACATAGGATCCAGCCAGTTTGACCTGACCCCCGACCTAGAGGGCGTCTGCTGGCTGGTGACAGGAATGCAATTGAGGAGGTCTATTCACCCTCAAGGTAAGGCAGCAAGGCAAGGTGATGGTGGTGATGGTATATTCCATGTATGTGTATTCATACTACTACTACTGCTTCTTCTTCTCCCCAACGTCCGCCCCACCGCGCCTTCCATACCCCGTCTTGGAGTACGCCGCCACGAGCCTCCACAGGACCCACGCGAATCCGACCACCACCGCAGCCGCCGTCCCGGCGCGAATCCACTCTGCCTGCCCAGACTCGAGAACCGGCACGCGTACGGTGCTCGTGAGCCGACCTCCGTCTCCTCCTCCGGCAACGGGTCGCGGCTCCACGTGCCAAAACACCGTCCTCGGCCCGAATAACGCGTCGTACCCGAGATTCACCCTCTCGAACGGGCTGCTCGGGAACTTTGTCCCCTCCTCGGACGAGCACGCCCAGAAGACGGCCGGGTAGGGTACTTCTACCTCGGTGTACCCGCCCGCCGCGGGTTCCAGGTAGCGGAGGTGCAGCGGGATCTCCGCCGTCCAGTCCTGGTTCTTCTTCCCCTCTTCAGTTGTAGGCGGCGCAAGCTCAAGCAAGACACCGGAGCCCCACGGCTTCGTGGCGTACGCGGGCGCCTCGAGGTCGACGGGCGAGCTGGCGTAGCGAAGGGCGGTCAGGTTCTTGGATCTGAGGAATAGGTCGTCCGCGAGCTGATAGCGGTCCGCGAAAATGGTCTTTGGCAGCGTGAGGTGCGCATGGACGGCGCAGTAGGCGTCTTCCACCGGCGGCTCGGCCGAGTCGAAGCGTAGCTGCAGGGTCGGGTGCAGGCCCGTTGGTTCGAGGAACGCTGCGGAGAAGGAACTACCGGTGCTACTATGCGATGATGCCTCGTCTCCCGCGGCGTCCGAGTGAAGCCGATGGCGGGCGGGCACGTTGAAGAGGACGGGCGCGGGCTTCTTGTGCTCGCCGAGGACGGTGAGGCCGCCTGCCATGCCGATCTCGTGCGGCTCCGGTTTCGCGGTGGAGTCGGTTGTGAGAATGCCGACTTCGGTCCTGTGGTTCGGGGTCGAGGCGACGGCGATGCGGTGTTTGCCGTAGGGCCACTGTGCAGTGAGCTTGAGGGCGTGCGAGATTGTGTCGTAGGAGATGTCAAAGGATGCTGCCGTCTTGAGGTCCTCGGCGCGAGACTTGCACTTTGTGTCTGATGCCGCGCAGAGCTTCTCGGCTGTGTACTGGCTGAAGGCAGCGAGGCTCTCTAGGGGCTCGTAGTATTGGAGCGCTGCGGAGTGAGAGAACCTGTCGTTGGGGAGGGTTGTGAACGACTTTTGTGTGACAAAGTTAGTTTCGACCGCTTTGCCTGGTGAGGTGTGAAGACCGGATTGTGGTATAGCTTACCTCTGACGATGTACAGCTGCTGCCACCAAAGGCCTCCTTGAGAGCTCCGCAAAGTTTTGTACTTGATGTTGTGTTATTATCTTGTTTAATACCGATGACACCCTTGGGGTAAAACTCACGCATCCCACTTGACCTCCTCCTTCTTTGGCGTATAAAAGAGATGAAAACCTGGTGATAACCTCGAAGCCAAAGGTCCAATAGTGTCATAGGCGAACGGGCTGACCCATCTAATGTGCAGCTCATGACTCTCACCCAGGAGCTGGGACAGCTCAGAGGGAAGCTCATCAAGGGCCAAGGTTACTCTATCTTCCCGGACGGATAAGAGCTCGGGACCCTTTACGCCGGCATCGCTAACTTCGAGAGACTCCGGAGGCGCGCCGTCACTGGGCTTATGAATAAAGGTGATTCGCTGACGCATCTTGAGCGATGGCCTACGCAACACAACTGCAGACTCGGCAACCGAGTTCCGGTTCAATGTAAGCGCTCTGAATGTTACTTGAGGATGAGTAGATGAGCTGGGTGCAAGGTGGTACGTAAGGTCAATGACAGTGGATTCTCCGGTGACGTGAACGGGTTGGCGTGTTCAGTGAGTGAACAGTGTGCTCGGATGGGTCCGTTGGCATCGAAGTCGGAGCTGGAGACCCGTTGCTGAGGACACTTCGCTCGGTGCCGAATCCAGGGGACTTGTCCCTTACTCCACCAAGGTCTCTCAGTACACCAGCCACACTCAGCCACATAGTATTCGGTACGTACAGCTGGGCTTAGGTAAGTAGACACGTGTGGAGGCTAGAAAACAGACCCATAATTCTACGGGTCCAGGCCGCCCTGCTACATTCGGTCACCGGCTCATCAGCCACGCTAAGCCATTTTAGCTACCGAAGCTGGCGCGGAGTGCGATGCCCCTCCAGCCCGTCCGCCCTCCGTCGACCGAGACGAACGGGGCCTTGTCGAAAGACACCGCCAACGACATCTTTTCTCTTATTTTTCCCTCTCACACATACCAGAGGCTCTCACTCCGTTTCTCTGACGATGTATCAGACGCCACTTCGAATTTTACAGACTTTGTGGCTTTCACGGCCTTCCTAACCTGTTTCTCATTTGATATGCCTTTTATGAAGTTTTAAATTGTAAGGAAAAATACGACCGGCGCCGTGTTTCTTTATGTGCCTACATGAGCACATGTAGATACGATTTAGATACCTGCCTATCGGCTCCTTTCTTAAGCAAGATTTGCTTCGGAAGCTGGTGAATATGGGCGATCACCAGCCCTACGTGACCATTCGGTCTCGGCGACCTCATGACGGGAACAGCGTGAGCAGCGCAGACTCGACTGTAGGTGCCAGGATCTCGTCGATCCAGTCGCGCAGAGTACGTGTAGACTCACAGACCGGCCATGACCAGTACGGTTCCAGCTCCGGCGATACGCCTCGGCCCGCCACACACGATATCAGCCGCGTGAGCTATCACGTCAAGCACCTCGATGCCTTTGCTCAGACCTTGGAGAATGTAAGTGACAAAGATCATGTGGTACTCATCGTGTCATAATTATACTGACGCTTCATTGCAAAAGTCTGCAAACCGAGCGTTCCCGAATCGCAGGAAATCATCACAGCGATATTCAAAGGTTCAAGCCCTGCTCCTCCACTGGGGCTGTGACGACCTCTTTGTGTTGCCTGAGCTGGAGGACCTGGAACGGTGCCTCCGCGAGGACTATGCTTTTGACACAGAGATCTTTCCTATACCATCTGAAAACTCACATCTAGAGCTCATGATGCAGATCGGCAAGCTGATCAAAGACCACGAGGCTCAAGACACGCTCTTTCTAGTCTACTACGGCGGCCATGCCAGGATAGATGAGTCTCGCCAGAGCACTTGGTGCGCGTAAGCAAACAATATCATCTTGCATTCACTACACACATTCTCACAGAACCGTAGCACTCGACATCCCGACTCACCATGGCTACAGTGGTCCGCAATCCAGACCCTGCTAGAGCGTTCTGCCTCCGACGTTCTCATCCTCCTCGACTGCTGCGCGGGAGCGGCAAGCGCAACGTTCCCCAACGGCAACAGCATCACCGAGACCATATCCGCCTCGAGCTGGGACGCCATTGCTCCAGACCCGGGTCGCTACTCTTTTACAAACGCTCTCATCGAGGTGATGCAGGAGTGGAGGCTCCGCACCTTTTCCGCGGCCATGCTACACGCCGAGGTCCTCGCCCGCCTGAAGCACCCGCGACCCGTCACCATCAATGGAAAGGTCTTTGAGGCCAGGTCGACGCCGGTCCACTTCATGATGACGTCGAACCACAAGGCGCCGAGCATCGAGTTGTCCCGGGTCGTGCCGCCTGAGCAGCGGCCACCGTCGCCGCTGTTGGATACCGCGATGACCGCAGAAGACAACGGATCGCCTGAAGGGGTTACGGGCGGGCGAGGGCCTGGCGCTCCAATATCGGGAGAGCCGAACGAGGATACGCCGCATGTCATGATCTCACTGGCACTCGAAGACAACCAGCAATTAGACTTGAGCGCTTGGGAGCAGTGGTTGTCCAACTTCCCTGCCCTGGCAAAATACGTCAAAGTTCAGGGTGTTTTCAAGAGTCATTCCACATTGCTCCTCCTGTCTATGCCAGTCATGGTATGGGATCTTCTGCCCGACGACCATGCGACCTCGTTCATAGCCTTCATTCGGTCCAATAACCTGGTGGCTGAGAGGATTCATGATAAAGACGAGGAGGCGGAGGTGAGTAATACGGTAAGTAGAGGCGCTCGTGTAGTGCAAGACAACACACAACCGGACTCTGCGTCAATGGGCACCTTTTTCTCGGATGTCACCTATACGAATGCTCCAACGGAAAGAAGCGTCATGGAGGCGCAATTGAGAGGCAGTGGAGCAAATGTGAGAATGAATGAAGAGAGACCGATTAGTATCCAGGAGTCAGACATGGGATCGACATCATCATCGCCAGTCGTCAGACCAACGCGTTCGCTTCCGTCTCCCAACCCAACAGCTTCAATCGAAGCCTTACAACGGCACCACACCTCATCTTCTCAAGTATCATCAGAGGGGCCACCAATATCCAGATCAATGATTCCGAACCAGCAGAGAAGCGCGCGGAGGACCATGTTGCATGATATTCCAGAGCCGCCCAAGTTCTCGCAACATGTCGAGATCTTGCTCCAACAATATTACCGGCAAGAGCCGCTACCCAACGACGATCAAAAGAATTTTGTTGCCTCGAATTTGGGCATAGAGTTGTGGCACGTCGAGGTAGGCTTTATCACTTACACACTTCCCCCCGTCTTCAGAATGACATAGTAATTGTAGCAGGCCTGGTTTCATCACCGGCGGGAACGAGATATCGTCTCGCAGCAATTCCAAACCCTTAGAATGGGCGGTGACCCGGCACCAGGGGCACCCAAAGGAGCCCAGATGATACTGCCGCATCACCTTCAAAGAATCATCGAGGTCCTATCGTCTAGCAGGATTCTGATGATTGACCTTCGTCCACCAGCCGACTTTGAGAAATCTCACATCAAGGGGGCAATCAACCTCCGCGCCCCCCTAAGCTTTATCAGAGAAGCCTCGTTCGAAATGATTGAGCGAGCTTTCCCACACCAAAGCAGCAGACAGGTCTTTGGCGAGTGGCAATCCGCCACATGCTTGGTCATCTACGACCGCGTCATAGACGCCTCGCGGGAATGCCCCCTCGCCGACGTCCTCTACGACAAGTTCAGAACATGGGGCTGGCCAGGCCGATGTTTCGTCCTCAAAGGCCACTACAGGGAGTTTAGCGTCTCATACAAGACATCCATCACTGGATCCAAGGTGTCGAGCGAGGCAGGGCATCAGCAGCAGCAGCAGCAGCAGCAAAACCCGGATCCCCTCCGCCAAGAGACATCGACGGCCGCACCGTCAGAGACTGATGACGCGGCGGCGAGAAGGAGTGCACAGTACCAGGAACTGCTGACTCAAATCGACAACGAGGGCATAGTGGTCAACACCAGCAGCAACAGCATCAGCGGTAACTACTACTACGCCTCGTCGTCGAGGCCCGATCCCAACCACGACGACCACGACCCGTCGGCCACTAGCTCGGGCCGCGGCGCGCGAGCCACGACGAGCCAGCATGAACGAGACCTCGAAGCCGAGTTCCGGCGTCGCGTCCCGGACCTCTACCGCAAAGCCCTGGAAGTCCATGACAGCAGCGGCAGTGGCGGGGGCCGGGCTGCCGAGACGCCGTGCGACGCCTCCGCTTCTGGCCCCGCCCCTGGCGCTGCTGAGTACACTGGTGCTGGCGGTGGTGATGGGACAGGAATAGCAGCAGAAACGGTGACGGGTACAGCAACAGCATTGCAATCATCAGAGGAAGCAGCGACAGGAACAGAGACGAGTTGGGACGGCTCTACCTTGCGACGACGACGAGTAGTGGACGCCGGTGGTGACAGAGGTGGAGGTGGCAACAACGACAACGACAACGACGAGGATGAGGACGGGAACAGCAGTACCGCAACCTGTGGGTTCGACACAAAGGCGCCGCTGGTCGAGTATCTCGACAGAGGCCTCTCCCACATCCGGCAGGGGAAACCTGTCACGTCCGCCGCGACTGACAGCTGGCGGCCCATCGACAAGGCCCCGTCCACTTCGTCGTCGTCGCTGTCATTGACAAACACCACCAACACCGCGATTGGTGGGATGTCGAAACTTGCCGCGGAGGGCTGTCACGCCCACTTTGACTCAGGGGCCGCCAGACTCGCCACGCCGCTGGGGGTTTCTTCAGATGATTCTTATGTGAAGATCAGCAGGGGAGATGTGCAGTACGCGGGCGATCTCCCTGCTGCTGGTGTTGGTGCTCCCCCGAACCCGGGCCATCAACAGCAGACGCACCATCATCACCACGGCGGCCTCGTCGGAGGAAAAGACGGGACGACGAGGGATGCCCACGTCGTTGGTCCGTCCGGGGATGAAACGCCCAAAAGAGGCCGGGGCGGTTTCCTGAATAAGGTTCTGCGAAGGGCATAAACGTTGAAAGCGTGCTTATCCCTTGTTGTCTACTACGTACAACGGGTGTATGGTTTTCTTCCAGAGTTGGGAGCGAACTTCTTTTTCCGAACATGGGGCTGGCTTGAAGGATTGTGACCAGAAAGGGGGGTAGGGGGGGTAAAAGATGTGATGCTCGTAGCGTTCGTCTCAGGAACCCTTTTCTTTTCGCGAGCTGGCGTCTTATTTCGAACTTTTGGTTTTGGACGGAAGTTGTATGGTGAGTGTATGTGTGTGTGCGTGTGTCAATGTCGATTGTCAGGGCACAACCAAGCAAGGGCCCATCAATGGAGGAAAGTTGGGTTGGGTTGGGAACCATCTATGAATTACACACAACCAGCGATGCTATTCACGGTACGCCACCACCACCACCACCACCACCACCACCACCTTGTTACTTTGAGCTTTTCTTTCCCCCCTGATTTGATGTTTTGGGATCAGGGGCAACTTTCAACTTGGCATTGACGGGGCAAAAACAGATATGAGCATACTTTGGGCTGGTTTGGTTGGGTTTGATTCCAGTCTGGAGTATGTAGTCTTTTTTTGGTGGTTGCAATGTCAGTCCTTTGGCGTTCAAGCTAGTTCGGAGAGAGAGATTTCACTTCCACACAAGCGAGTGCGGTTTGGGTGGTGGGCAAGGAATAGGTGTGATGATGTTCGGAAACCGGAGTATCGTAGTTTATCGAACATGGACCACATTGGGACAAGATAATCGCTACGCAACATCAGCAGCGCATCAACAGCAGCATAACCTGGTCACAGCTTTGTAAAGTATTCCCCCCCCCCTTCGTCCATTCTGTTTCCCGTCTGCTATGCTTCTCTACTCTATTCCGCTTCTCCATGTTGTATCGTGTACGTGGTATGTGGGCATACGTTGGCCCCTACAACCTGTCCATGCTCCCCTCGCTTTCGCGCCTCTGCCTGTTTTCGTCCCTTCTTTCCAAATCAGATAGTCACGTAGTCGTTTGGAGATATAGGCGAGAACAACGCTCTTGCCTGTTTCTCATTCTTCAAGGGGAAGGGGGGTTTGGTTTGGCTTGGTGGTTGGGCTGGGTTATGTGGTTGAACGAACAGACGTTCGACAAAAAGACAAGGGGGGCATGATGGAAAGACGGATGATGAGAGAATGTGAGAGATGCGACGGAAAGGGTAAACCCTCTTACCACCTCTGTATTCAAGCAATCTTTTTCTCGGTAGAAAAGGTTGTACTTCTGTATCCTCATCATGGGTCACCCCTCTTCGTGACCCTTTCTTCCCGTCTCTTCGGGATGTTTCTGTCTGGGCTTCATTCAAGCATACAAGGGCGAACAAGAGTCCGACAACCAGACGTAGACCAGACAGACCCAGCACCGCCTTGTAGCACCGTTCGTCTCGAACGAGCAAAAAAAAAAAAAAATGTCAAATACTTTTTCCCCCTTCTTGGTACGTGCCAACCCTTGACGTTTTGAAAACCCACAAGTTCTCAATGCTGCTCTGCCCTTTCTTTTCTGCCTGTCTTCCCCTATTTTTCTACTTCGTACTTGGACATCACTCCCCTTCCCAACGTCTTCCCCCCTTGAACCCGGAAGCTCGGGTATCACGTCATCCATTTCTGATCAGGGTTTTGCTATGCTTCACAGACCCCAACTCAACAAGAGCAAAGACACATACGCAAGCACCAGAGGAGACAGAGCAGTAAGAGAAACAGCAAGTCGAGTCAAGACAGGCATATCCTTTTCCCTTTCTTGTCGGGCTTACCCATGCCTTGTCTTATTTGTCAAAGGTCCGGACGGAGATGGTTGGAAAAGGGGGCATACAGGGAAAATCTCCAACGTAAGGAGGAGGAAGGGGGGAGGGGAGGTTTACCCGAGTTCTACCTACTCTGCAGGGTTGCAGCAGCTACAGTGGTTGATCACAGATCTGTGGCGAGAGATAATCAGTGTAGATCCCCTTGTTTCCTATACTACAAACTGCTGTTTTGTTTAAACCATGGGGGGTTTTAGTTCCAATATATTGGCTCAGCTTGTGGGAGTGAACGTTGCTCGGACATGAATCCCACGGTGATCATTATCAGATACATCATACCGAGTACAGCTTCTTGATAACAGTAGATGAGGAAAGAGAGAAACATCGCGAGCAGCTGATTGGTCGCCTTAGGAGGGGAAGAAACTGGTGTCCGATCCGAAGATATGCAGGTTTCAATCCCATATGTGCAAGTCAACCTACGGCACTTCAGTCTCACAATCGTCCGAGTACGGGATCCTCAACGGTCAGGTCGAGAGCGGTTGTGCCTGGTCTGATGTCGACTCTCGCGTGCGGTGTCCAAGGTGTGCGAGACACATTACACTAGTCCCAGCGGGCGTTTGCCAGGTACGGGCAAGTATCTATCGCATGGCAATGAGGAGGAGGTTGGGCAAGGACGAACGTCCGGGGGGGCTCGCCGCCGCCGCCACCACCGTCAGCGAGTAGAAGCAAGTCAGAGCGAGAGCGGCGGGAACATCTGTGTGCCTGCTGCCTTCCCATGTTCTTGCCGAGCTGTCTTGTCATTCAAGAGACGACCTGACCAATCCAAAGCTCGGCAAGACGAAGGTCAACCACGGGCTTTTTCTCAGATCAACGAGACGAAAAGTGACAAATCGCTCTGACGCCGGGTGTCAAAAACGTCCGTAGTTGACAGGTAGGCGCAGCAAGGCAAGTCAAGCATAACGTGCGAGCGGCCCCGAAGCGACGGGTTGGGTTGGGTCGTTCGTGGTGGTGTCGTCTTTCCTGTGACAAGCTCCACCTCAAGACACATCCTATCGCTCGCAAAATGTCGTCCAGAACAGGCAAACAGGTCAGTGACTTTTCTCCACGAGCGTGCTTGCGGGCGGGGAGGAGGGGACTGATGTTTCTTCTTTCGCGACATGTCCAAAGGGTGAGGGGGGGGGGAGTGCGGTGGGCGTGGCGCAGTCCGTCAACTCGGTCGGTCCCCAACGGTTGCTGTCAAAATGAGATTTCAGAGAATGCGACTGGCTGGCAGATGTGACAAGTCGTCGGGCCCCCTTCTGTCTCCTGCTGCCATGCCAAATTCTGAAAAAGGGCGTCAATGGGGGTTTGGTGGGTTGCGTGGTGTGGTGTAGGTAAGGATCCGACAAGCAGCAAGATCCTGTACGTTGCAAACCGTCCCATTTTCCAGAAAGGAAAAAGAAAAGAAACAGAGGAGAGTGACCCAAACCACCCCCCCATCCCTGCCTGCATCACGGACGGAGAAGAAGGGAGAGAGGGAGAGTTAGCGAGAGTACCCGAACATCGACAGACGGTGGTTTGACAGCGGGTCATGAATATGCACGACGTAACATCATGACGAGAATCCGAAGGAGAGCGAAGACAAATCAGAAGGCGGATAACTCGAAGTCAACGTGGTGAAGAAACATTCCCGCTCCCGCTTTGGCACTCCAGACAGGTTCTGGAGTTTCTCTATGGATTCCGTGCGCCGTATCTGCTGCTGTACGTTTTGTTCGAGCCCATCTGTCGGGAAAGAGAAACGAATCTCTGCATGTCGAGTTTCCCTTGGCCTGTTGCCTCCTCCTCCTCCTCCTCCTCCTCCTTTCCTCTCCACAAGACGTTCGTTGTCAAAAAAGGTTACAATGTATTGAAAATGTCGAATACCGCCGTCGTCGGGAATTCGCATCCAGACCACCTTGGATGCGAGAACGGAATGCGATTCGCTCGCCAGAAACCGTGACAGGTGCTAGGGTACACCCTGGCACGTCGGGGGAGGAGTTCCCAGCCCCAAAATGAAGTTTTTTTTACGATTTGACAGGGCGCTTGGACCATGTTAAGGCTGGGTTCAAGCTCCAGGGGACGAAAGATGGGAGGGGATGAGGAAGCGGATGGACAGTGGGCTGGGTGGATGAAGACAAGGAGTCTTTTGGGTACGATGTAGGGATTGTTGATGAGCATCGCCATCCGGCTCTGGAGTCTGGCACTGGCCCTGGCCGCCCTTCCCTGTCCTTCTCCTGTCTCCCCCTTCCTCTCCAATGATCTTGAATATCTTTTGGCGGCCCTTGGAGTCCCTTCCAGTTGCAATAGCATCCATATTCGTATGTCCGGATAAACCATATTTGACAGATTGGCAGCCAAACATTGAACAGTCCATCGGCTGGCTGGCCGGGATCAGATCAAGGCAAACGGGTGGAGAACGGGCATCGAATTCTGGCACCGGTCGGACCTGCCTGTTCAGTTTCAGATGTCCGGAAGCAACGCCAGAAGATTGCCAATTGAGCACGGCTTCCGGGATAAGGTCTGCCGCGAAGAATAAGCCCAGAATTCTATCTGCGGTCATTGTCCGCAGGGCGAGTTGACAAGTTGCGAGTGGATGAGATTCCTGACAAGCCCCATGCTTCCCTTCGGCCTCAGGGGCCGGGAAAGCCAATGTGTGAGCCCTTCGTGCCCTTCTGCCTTTTCGTATCCCTGCCGGTCACGCCAGTCTTGCGTCCAGCGTTATGAGGGCTGCTCCTCCAAGCCTGACTGATCCTTGGTCATGACGGGGAACATGGTGTCGGCAGAAGGCATGTTTGGATGTTAAACCTCCTAGCCACTTTGCCACTCCACTCGAATCGTCCTAGTCCGATCCATCAGCGTTGGATCTGGTGGTCCCCTTGCGGCTGTCAAACTTGACAGATCCCCTTCACAATTTGGTCGCCAGTGGGGAGAACCGAGGCCGATAATCGATATGACTCCCACCGTCGAGGGGTGCAGATGGAGCTTTCGACCAGGTCTGGCAATAAGACCTTCTGTGCCGGCGGGAAATGACTTCATAATGAGCCCAGATATCTCGTCAACCTGTCCTTTAACACGCTCCTAGTGGGGTTCCAATATCTGCCGATTCCCAATAATCTTTCTGCGATTCTTTCAACCTTGCGACCGCCGCTTGGATCTGGGCCTGGACTTGCACTATGCGCCGTGTCAAATGTAAAGGTATGCAGGTCGCTGGCTCGGGACTGGGGAGTCGAGTCGGGAGCCTTGCACGCGGCACGCCCTGCTCAAGATCTCATCGAACTCAAAATTCTCTTCCATTTCCAATTCCCCCCCTCAGCCGATCGAAGAGCGTCACCGAAATGACTTTGTGATCCTGAGTGGTGCCCGATAAAGAATGCTTTTGCCCCTGTAGGATGTTGACAGGCTGTGGTCGTGACGGCATCGGAGCCGCAAACTATCCACAACAACGTCTACGCCTGCCTTTCACAGAACAGACGATGTGACTGCCCATCCTGGCACTGCTGTCCCCTTCTCGCTGTGACGCTACCGCTGGACGTTGACGGTTGCTGTCACCCTAAAGGTTCGCGCTTGACATGCGGAGCAAAAAGGCGGCTGCATCAATTGACGTTGCCGACAGCTCGACGTTGCCGCAGCCGACCTTCTGTGGACAAGATGCAGGTCCAGTCTGGATGGAACTACCGGTTGGTGGACCTCATGATCTCCATTTGATATGTCTGTGTCACTTCCAGGGCGCCCAGAGGAGCAAGGCCCGTACATGATGTATCCAGCACGGCCGCCCCAAGGCGGCTGTGTTACTCAATAAGGAGCAGCTTGCGCGACGCGATACACGGGGCCGTGACCAGGGTCACCACAGCCCAAAGATCCGATCTGGGTGTTCCAGAGAAGAAAATATCGTCAAGACTTTTAGTCGCGAGGTACAAGTGATGCCCGCCTTCGTAAAGGATCCACTGAATTCCCAGGTCCACGGGATGGTTGGACAACATGACTTGTCTTGATTGCACCTGGAGAGTCCAAAGCGGCGTAGGGCCCATTTGGAAGCCTGCATCTCGTACGACGTGCCTGGACGTCAATGAAAGGTTGGGCCAAGCTGGTGGTGATGCCGGCAGATCCCGCCCGTGGAATACGGTTGTGTATTTCTTGTACAACGTCAAAACGAGCCGTTGACGGCTTTACGTTCGCGATGCCCTCTATGAAAGCTACCTGGCCCAATCAGAGGCATAGCAATCATGAGTTGCTATCGATAGAAAAGACTGGGTATTCGCAAAGGTTGTCGACTCATGGGAGCCCTGTCCTTGAAAAGCGGAAATCGTCAGATGGCAGGCTCTTGTATCCGAATATCCGACAGACCCATTAGCCTAGATTGTGACAATCTGCAGAATCTGGATCGAAAGTATATTAGCATTTGCTGGTGTATTGCGTGGTAGTCTGTCGACGACTCTACATTCTCTATGAGTCTCATCAACAGCATCCATCAGAAGCATGCAGGAAACCGGTGGGACGTCGGTCATAGTCCGCATTCAAAAAGCAAAGCATCTGTCTTGTCGGTTGAAGATCATGCGAGAGTATGCTTCATCTTGCAGCAAAGTGCTGGAAGAAATCTTGCAAAAAGCAAAACTTTCGGTGCCCTTCGGAGTTGCTAGCCACCAGTGGTGTTGTACTGTCGCAACTGTACGGAGTACTCTGAACTTATGAAGACAACCCGAGTTCCACAAAAGGTCTCCTAAACCTACATGCTACATGTGGCTAGGTAGGCCAATTGACATTCAATGGGGTAACTGGAGTCTGAACGGTACCCTTCATACGGCTAGGTCAAAGACTCAAGGCTCTCTCTGTGGCCAACTCGTGGGCTCGTGGATATCTGATCAAGCCTCTTGGATACTGCGGAGACATAGTAACGCAACAGAATAGAATGTGCACAGGTAACTATGTTACGAGTTAAAGGTTTCGCAGAGTACAAGGCACGCTGAGATCTGTCCCGACTGTAGACCGAGAACTAGCACGGGCTCTGTGTCATGTGGACGAGGAGCTGCCAGATGACAGGCTATAACACGAGTCTTGGTAACACGCCGGTTGCGGTATGTTACTGCACGTCGTCCTGTCGTACAGCCGTCCTTCCAGTTGAGGAGTTACTGATGTAGAGACCCGCTGTATTTGTGACCGACGCCGTGAGAAACGGTAGTAAGAGGAGTCAATGGTAAAGTGGGCGTCCTCGACTATTTGCCTTGAACGGGAAAACGATGCGGCTGGCTCTAGGGGCCACAACTGTGCGGCACAGTCAACTTCTCAAGCTCGTCTTCGCGAGACCGACTTGCCCTCAGCGATTCGCAAGAAGCACGAGCCAGGGGCTATGGCCGCAATAAAATAGAGCCCCGTTCATAGGCTCAACTTGAATGAGCGGGTCATCAAAACCGTGGTTGTTGGCATGAGGTGTCAGACCGGAAGGGTGCGGCTCATCCACATTTGACAGGCGATGGAGGATTGCTACTGCAAGATTATCGATCTTGCCACGATTCACTGGTGCCGTCCTGTCATCCATCTCCAGGGTCGTCGAATAGTTGTTGGTCTCTCCACGGCAGCGTGCTGGATACAGCCCCCGGGTTATACCAAAGGACCAAACCCCCGGGAATGGCAGTCACGGTAAAGCAGCCCACTCGTTCATTGCCCTAGAGTTTGACAAGGTCGCGATGGCAGAATTTCTCCCACCGCAGTTTCAGCTGCTCCTCCTCCCATACTTGAGCAGCAACCCAACGTAGGTATTGCACCGTTTCGTATGACATACCTTTGCTCCCAATCATTCGCTCGTAGACTGCAGTAGCTATGTTCGTGTCCAGACTTCAAGCGTTCATCAAATGGTGCCCTCCACGGTCGCCCATTCGGAACGTTTCGGTAGTGGAAAAAGGGACGGAGCCGGTTCCGAGTCGAATCGAAACGTGGAGCCCAGAAAAGATTACTGGGGTGGTACGGTAGCAAGACATCCCTGAAAGTACCCCAGCTGGCGGGCTCTGCCGTCTCATTAATGGAAAGCCGTTCCCTTGTCTTGACAAAGGATATCCATCTGGATGGGAACCCTCGCGACGGGTAATCTTTGCTTAGTTTGGTCATTTTTGCGAATGTGATCCCTGCAAATGCGGTTGGGTGGGCCACCCAGCGATCTGGCAGGCCGAATAAGCCTGGCATTTCGTCGAGAATAACGAGTCCCGTTTCTTTCTCCCTTATGGAGACATCGTGGAGCTGTCAAACGTACGATGTCCGCAAAAGCCATGTGTTGGTGCGCGACAACCTGGAGGTCGAATCTCCACCTCAGCGATCCTTTGCGGGCTCTTCTGCAATGAAGACCGGACATGCCGCTCGATAGATAGATGCGAGGACGTATGAACGGAGTAGGTTGGGAATTGGCAGCAAATTTTTTTTGTTAAAATTCTATAGGGAATGTCAGCACCATCAACAACTACGCCGCCCGCTGACATAGCACACCGCAGTACCTACTCCGTGCGGATATTTGGACTATATTCCACACAAAAAGATGAAGGAAGGCTGCAGCAAGTCAATCAAGTCTTCTGAAACATGAGGCGTTGAGGCGAACAGACGTTCACCACGCGATGGTGATGGTGTGTCCGTTCGGGCGGACTAATAATCGATGTTATGTTCTATTTCAGTCGATCTGGACAAGCGCTAGAATCGTTATTCCATCAATTATGCTGTTGCGTTGAAGTTTCTAGAAAGACGTACCAGACAGCTACCTGAAGCTTCGCGGACAATGTTGGAGATGGCGGGCATCATTCCAAGCGTGGATGAACGCCTTCGGTAGCAATTCGGAGCATACACTACACTTTTGTGACACAGGGTATTTTTAGGGTTCCATCGTTCACTCCCCCGTACCTTCATCCTTGTCAATGCAGTCAGAGCGGACCTGGACCGTGTGGGTATGACAAGGCAAACCTCCACAGCAGCCCGTAAATCCCCTTTTTACCCTTGAAAGGTGGAGGAGCAAAAGTGCGCGGTGAAGCTGGACCTCGTTGACGACTGCGCTGCCCTGTGTCACTGAAAATCGCTGATTTGGACAAATCAGGAGGGCGGCGACGCGACGGTATGTATTGTACTTGGCGCCGAGCGATGTGCAGACGGGAAGCAAGATCGATTTGGGAACAGCGGCGAGTCAAGATCGCGCATGCTGCTGGCGTCTGCAGTGCCGACCGATGCAAATTGCCTCTGGCCGCATCGGCGAGGCGGGCGAGCTGAGGGGATTCGGACATGGTCCAAAGAAACAACAGAACTCCGTTATGCAGTTTGCTTGACACGATGTTGTCGGCCAATGGGGTGGAGGCGTTGACAGGCGCAGGCAGGCACACGGACAAGCATCTGGAGCCCATCAGCTAGCACTCCAAAGTGCTCCAGCGAGAGTCCAGTGGGAAGATCATCCTGTCCCGTCCTGCAGGTGGGCGTGTGCTCCGGTGCACAGGGCAGCGGGAACGTGCAATGATGGCGGTAGATTGTGATTGAATGATGATTAGTGATGTCGGGACCGCCCAATGGCTGAGGCTTTTGGAAGATTGGTCGAAGGCTTCCAAGGAACGGAAACGAGCAGGTGACGGAAGTTCACATCTGTCGTTCAGGGATTAAGAAAGTCGATTGTGGGAGTTAAATTATCATTCCCCTGAAAGGATTGAAGAAGAGTCGACTTCCGACGTCGTAGAACAATGTCGATGTATTCTCGATGGGGCTCGGTCCCCATTTGATAGCCAAAAGTCGATCCTCGATGTCAACGCGCAACCAGTGGCGTCCAGCTTTGGGACGACGGGAGAAAGATAACTGACGGGGGGGCCAATCCCACGACGGCAGCGGGAAGAGCAGAGTTCTTCTAGGCTGCTTCGGATTTTTCCAGGTGAAAATGCTCAAACTCGCCGGAAAACGAGTCTGGCCAAAATTTGAAACGGCACTGAACAGTCGGTCGGTTCTGTGCGTGGACCGGGAGGAACCCGCGGTTGACGGTGCCGTGTTGGGAGCGATAGGAAGCGTGTGCGTGGGTGTGTGTGTGTGCGTTTGCGCGCATAAGGTGTTTGTTGATCGGGTTCCCATGCAGAGTATCCAGTGAAGTGTCCGATGTAGCATGGTATCCGTTTCCGTGGAAGGGTGGTCGAGGACGAGGGCCGGCTACTTGCACAAGTGTGTAGAAGGATGTGGTTGATGTGCTTGCTGGTGCTTGGTCTGGTTGGGTGGGCATGCGATATGAAGCGCCATCGGGCGTGTGTGCGGCTTGCGCATATGCGTGGCTTACCTAGATCCCGGCGATGGCCATCGGCGAAGATGAGATTGGCCAGTTTGTTGTCTCCCCGGAGCTCATCACATATCATATCGGAAAGGGTCGTCGTCGGCGGATGTTCGCAGCTGTTGTCAAGTCCGGGTCTATGGCACCGGTGAAGACGGGTGTGGATGGTTAGCAAATGGGAGACCTGGATCGGAAAAAGCATCCCCGCTCCAGCTATCGGCTCCTGGATGGGAGCCAATGGGAAGGGCGAGGGGGAAGGGGTTTCCTCCGGAAGGAGAGACGCCCACGGATAATTGGGTCCAATACTCCGTGAGGCAGGCACGCAGGCACGCAGGGCAGGCACGCCGCACGGGATAGAATGCGAGTGCCAGACCTTGATTCTACCTTCCTTGTCTTTCAGGCTGACTATTGCCGGCACTTTCCACGGATATCTGTATCAAGGACGGCATTCTTCCAGATCAGATACAGATACGTACAGGTGCTCCGTCCAGACAACAGGGCAAGGTATCTGACAACCAAAGCCTTGCACTTGCGCCTGCACTTGCTTTCGCTTGCGGCTTGCAGGCAAACAATTCATCAATCCAATTCATATTGGAGATGGAAAGTGGGCCTCAGCTTACGCCAGGCGCCCCTCAAGGTCCAAGGCCAGCCAGGGGTCAATGTCACGGTTGGGCGGGCAGGGCAGATTCAAGACCGGGGGCCAAGGGCCGGATCAGACAGGGAGTCAACGACATTCAATGCAGGTCACACTCGCTGTCCGTCTTTTTCTCTGCTTCTTACCTCACCTCACTACGGATGTGACTATACGGAATACGGTATTGCAGCCTTGCCGGGTTGAGATTGGGGGGTTCTGCTTTCTGCAAGGTCACAATAAGATTACACTTCTATTTTCTCTCTAATTTCCTTCAGTACCGGTGTAGAGGCAAGCCATTGGCACGTAGCCCAGGTGTCAAGTGACGTCTGGGGCAGGACGAGGACGCAACGGTGTGCGGGAATCGAGACTTGTTTTCGAACGTTCTGGGGGCGTGATTGCGTGCAAAGACCTGAACGGCAAGGTCGGTGAGCCTGTGAGGTACTACCAGGAGGCTAGAGGTAGTCTACCTTGCCGTCTATGAAGCCAGCTGTGTCAGGCTGCTGGAGCCCGCTGTCGTCTGCTTATGCTGGCGGTCCAGCCCATTGCTGATGGAAATGGGAAGTCTGAGCCAAAGATCCACGGCTTGGGCAAGAGAGGACTAGCGTCATGAGCGTAGTGGCTATTTGTGTCCTGTCTGAGAGTCGTTGATTCCATTGTTTACCTTGGTTTTACGTTTTATGAGTGGACGTGAAGAAAGTGCGACGAGAGAAAAGAGTAAGGAGGAAAGGAGGCTGGCCGCTAAGGAAAATGGCAGGTGCAAGTGAGACGGCAGGCGCAAGTGCGAGGTACAAGACTAATTGCAAAGTCACCCAGTGGCTCTTTCCCCTTCAATCCAACCTCAACCCGCGTATCCACTTTTCGGACCTTAATGGAAAGCACCAGCTGCACCACTTGCTCATTGGCTAACTACTGCGCAGTACTCCGTAGACCTTGATCATACACAGTAGGTAGGAGTTTGGAAGCTTGGATTAAGTAGGTACGTACTTATTTCCATGCCCACCTCATTGCCTGCCTTGCCTTACATAATACCACGGATAACTCACAAGTCGTAAGGCACAAGTCACAAGCCGAAAAGAATGCTGCACTTTGGCTTCGTAGGCTAAGGCACTTCAGTCACTCCTTACCTAAAGCTCAAGCAATGCATCTTATGCACATCTCAGACTTTATGCTGTCCGGGCTCCCCTCTGACGGACGTATGCAGATGCCATCTAATCATGACGCATCAGCTTCTGTATCGCACCTCGAACTGGTGCACCTGCCATGCGTGCCAGATGCCAATCACAGCAAAAGGGTGAAGACGATGCATGCGCCAGACCGGGTACAAGCACGACGCCATCAACACCACCGCCACCGTCGCCGGCAACCGACCATCACCCTGGGCCTCTCGGTCAAGCTTGAGCTGGGATACGTATCGATGCATACGGATACAGGCCATCGGGAGCTCCATGCCGATGGCTACGACAACGACGAACGACGAACAGAGCAGCGACCACAAGGGTGGGAATCCCCCATGCCCTGCAGATGAGAGTCGGCACAGTGCATCCCCGAGATCGATACCCAGCATCGGCTACGAGATCTGGGCAAGCAGACCAGCAGCCTCCCGCGCCTCCCATCACCACCCGACCCATGCCGTTGCCGCTCGCAGCCAACCAGAGACAATTACCGTGCCGACAAAAGCATGGTGTGCAATCCCGACCGGCCTGGAGAGGCGTTCCAGTGACCCAGATCCAGAGTTGGTGACGGCGATGGCGATGGCGATGCATATTGCACTACCTCTCAACCAACCACTACAATGTAACTTACGCCATGTCATGCACTTCATCAACAAGCAAACTTCAACCCCGCCCTGGTCCGCATCACTTCACGAACCAGCACGCATCCATCTTCCTCAGAGATGCACTTGGACCATCCAACAACACAGTGGCCTCAGACAAGCCAACGATAGACTACGGTGCCATCTTCTATCTAGCCTGATCCCGCGCGAACGTGCTCACTGAAGCTCGGAGCTTTCTGCAACCAGCTTGCCTACCTGCGTCTATAAGGTAGGTAGTATAGTCACCATCACCATCACAAGCGCCAAACCCAACCATGTACGGTGCGCTGTCACTCTTGCTCGGCGTTGCGACAAGCATGCATCAATCAACAAAGAGCCCGCTGGCTGGTGGCGTGCAGCGGTTGTCGTCCTTGCCAGCCCTAGACACAGACTGTTGGCCTGTCGCATGGGCCGCTCTGCGCTGGGAGAGGCCGTTGTATCGCCGGAGGAATCGGTACCTGCAGTGGGCGCAGAGTCCGCCTGGGTGCTCCGGCCAAGATGCTACTCTAGCGCAAAGTGTCTGGGGGATCGTCGTGCTGGCCGTTGCTAAGCCGAAAGGCGAAAAAGAGCAGCAAAGCCTAGCAACGAGTAACCCGAGAGATACGACTGGTATCTGGCCCAGAGTTCGCAGCTGTGACGGGATCGGCTTCGCACTGCGTTCTCAATGCTCACCATAGGTATCAAACAAAACCAGCCAGCAGGGGGCGTCTGGGAACCGGGATGCCGTCAACCGCCGCGCCAGGGCCAGCAAGTGATCACGCTGCTCCTCGCCATGTGAGCCAGTCGGAATGCGGACTACTCGAGGAGTGAGTTAGCCAGGCGACCCAAATCAAGGACACTCGTTGCAACACGCAGATAGTATTCTCGACTGGATATCCATCCGGCACGTCCCTTCAAAGGACAATGGGACAGCCCAACTGCAACGTCTCCTCCTTGCCTACAGTACATACATCTCGGACGTCAGGCTCATGAAGCTACCAAGGTCCCTGTCGACCTATCAGTCAGCACCCGGGCTTCCGTCTCGCCTGGTCTGCACTCCTGTGTATGATGTGCAACCCGTTCCGACGGAACCCCAACTCAACTCTTGGGGCGCAGCAACTTGAGGCGACACCTGACAAGGAGCCTTCATGACAGTTCCTGAAGAGCCAATCGCAAGTCGAGGTTGCGTTTGACAACGTGAACAATCTCATCTTTGGTTCCGATCGACCTCAGATCAACCATACCGTGGTCGCACCTTACAACCAATCGCAATTCTTGTTTACCTAGATCTCACGAACCTTCCAGCCCTTCGAGCTGTCATGCACACGCCTTGAGCCGTTTCTGGGACCTGTCAAAGGGCTTGTGAGCAGAAAAAACATCGTGGGACCCCAGGCAATACCATCGCAAGGATTCGCCACGGCCGTCAGGGCAAAACATTGATGCTACTCGGAACCTGCCACTTCCTTTCCAGCAACAGACAGGCCCCGTCAATTGTGGTGCTGACCGGGGCCAAAGGATCACCGCGGTAGATCTACGTTTTTGACAGCTCTGCCTGGCGCGGACGGCTTCGGCTCCGGAGGCGCTGCCTGTGTACCCTGCGACAGACAACAAGACCCGGCCCCTTCCTGGAGTTGAGGCTTGACGATTGAGGCGCCAATACCCTGATTAGCTTGCTTCCCAAAAAAGGTCTTCTACCAAAAGTTGAAACGGTAGTCAATGTTCTTGACCAGAATGCACTTAGTGCGTCTCTCTGACTCGGTGGTTCTCTCAGCCCTGAGTGCATCCTGAAGAACGCAAATGCGTCGCTGAAGGGGGAAAGGAGGTAGGTATTCAATCTCTGGGCGGCTTTCAGTGAGCACAAAAAAGGAGCATGGAAGCAGAAAGACGCCTTGAGCCGCATGACACTCTGCACCTCGATGCTTTGTGGGGAGAAAGACCGGGGAGGGGAGGGCTGAGTGACAAAAGCTACACATGTCAAAGTTTGATCATCACCAATCGCAGACCAGCAACTCTGCTCAACTGGATGCTTCGTTTTGAAGTCAGGCCTGCAAACACTTCCTGATAAGGCAAATGTCAGAACGATCCGATAGCTAGACGTGGCCCGTCATGGGGAGGCGCGCTGCATATATCGCACGCAACTGTTCCAAAACACTCGGACGGAAGAAAAGCATCCAATGATGAATGTCGTTTCAGTCTACATCGGTTGTCCTTGGGTCGATGTGCCATGACTTCTGTTGACAAGCACAGCCACCATCATCGAATGTTGCGGACGAGGCATCAAGCCGAGTTGGAAGCTCAGCGACTGGTTGAACCCAAGAACACCCAGACACACCCACGAGGGAAGTTTGGGGCACGTCACAGACGTCAGCTGCGACCGGGCGACTGACGGGTGGCTTGGAGAGTCAAAGGAAGAGGGAAAAACAACAACAGAGTTCATCGGCTTGGTTTCTTCAACCCAAAGCTTGGGAAAGCTTGGGATGGACGTTTGAATCGTGTTCCCTGCCCTTTCACTCGTCGACAGACTCGCGCGGCTATGTCAAATACTTGAGCCTGCGACGCTCGCGGACCTTATTCAGGACTCGCACAAGAATGCGATACCTGAATAGCGTTAGGATTGGGCTGAAGGGGGTGGGCGTGTCAGCGGCGGATAGCATAGCCGCTCTAGCGCACAACTCAACCTTTGCTTGCCTTTCCTCCCATCCAGGAGACTTCCGGACCCGCCCGATTGTTTAGGATGGCTGTTGGACAGGAATTTTGGGGGAAGATGGGGGGGGGCGTGGACGGGATCGAGAAAAGACAAGCAGGGGAGCGCCATCACGTCAAGGCTCCCCTGGCTGCTGCTCTCCTGGCCCTACCCCCAGTCCCCCCTCCAAGAAAACATCGTCTGTCCATCCATTCACCCCATCCGCAGGCACACTCGTTAGACACCACACATTTGACACCAGACATGCACACACGCGCACATTGGCATACGAGCTCGAACCGGAACTTCAACAACCAGTTGCAGAACCATACGCCCATTGCAGCTTTGTGACACACCACCACTCGCTTCCTTGACGGGAGTTCCCTTTCCTGTCAAGATGTCTCCAAGTCATGACATGTTGGACATATGCCTAACAGTACTGAGAGCTGTCTCACTCCCTGACCATGTGCACAAAAAAGAAAGCTGCTGGTATTTGCAGAATCAACGGCGCCTCCCCGGCAGCGAGGGGGCGAGCACGCGCGATGGATTTCGCCCGTCAACAACAAGATGCTAAATCGAGAGATTGGAGAGCTCGAGAGTTGCTAGACCTTTTCTATGGCTACGGTGACCAGTCTTCCAGAGCCGTTTGCTCACGGACAATGGAAGCTGATCCAGCCAGCAAGAGGTTCAGGACAATTCAGGACTCCCGCTGTCTTCTATTTTGGACTGCTGAGCTCAGACGGCAGTTGTTCGGCGGGTCGAGAACGCCATCTTGAACAACAGACAATTTCTTGGGGGCGATCGCAGCATTGCCGTTCACGACCTCCGGGGACCTCCATACGCAAGGTTCGAGGATGATGGATGTTGCCGACAAGGGCTTTCACTGCTCGCCCTTTATCGCGCTCGTTAGACTTCATCTTTCTTTCGGCAATACTATGGACACTCATTCATGACAATATTGGACAGAATCCGTCGTATACTGAACCCATCTCCGGTTTACCATGTTCCCTCGCTCAACCTGCTCCGATCGGGAAATGACGGCCAGCCGCTGGCCAGCCGGGTCAGAGATCGTTACGTACCAGAGTAGGAACCAGGCCACCAGTGCCGGCCCCCGGTCTGGTCGATGGAGACTTTTTTTATTTTATTTTTATGTCATTTGTGCATATCTCTATTTCATTCGTATACCTACTACTCGACTGCCTACGGATGTCTTGTTCATTCTTAATCCGTCATAGGACCCGAGCGCGGCCAGAGCGTTACAAGCGACAATGAAGGGGCTTGGCTGGGAGGGTGAGGTAACTTGACGCCAGTTGCATATGTGATGGCACGTTGAAATAGTGTATCCGTAGCTAGTCAAGTCGTTGGAGTAATGCACCATTGGGTACAGTGGTAGGTATCTCGATATCCATAATCCGCCGCCGCCGCGCGCCCCCCCTTCGGGCAATTTCATCTACATCACAACCGTCCTGGCCCCGGGTGGGAGCCACGAGCAGCCGGGGAGCACAAGTAGACCCCTGCCCACAGACGCGACGGCTTTCCTAGTGGCTCTTTTCGTGTCACTGTTCGAGCAGGCTAGTGCTTCTCCCATCTCTTCCACTCTTCCACCAGACCAAGACGTATCCTGGTCACTTTCTTTTCGTTCAGACCCCTATCCATGTCGTTCTGCTGGCACATCCTCAAGTACCACCTCGAGCTAGCATAATCAGTCCGTTGCCCGCCAAAGGGAACGCCACCGAAGCAATCCTAGGACCAGGCCCTGACTGGGGGTGTGGGTACGGACGGTGTGGTCCTTCGACCCTGGTCGAGATGGGCAATCCCATTCTCCTTCTTGTTCCTCATCGACGGCCTGCTTGTACCCTGATCGTCCTCTTGCCATGCCACCCATGCCCATGCCTCGCAGCTCTGGGCTAGTTCAGGTTTAGTCTGTTCCGTCAAAACCATCCTCCCTCCCCCACATCAGCAAAGGCCTCGTTCCCAGATACATAGCAAGGCATTAAGCATCCGTGGGCTGTGCGCTTCCTCTTCTCCAGTCCAGTTCACTTGCTCTACACTACCTTACACTACGGATACCTTACCATACACTCTACTACTCTCAGTCAAGTCTCCACGGTCCGATTCACAAGAACCTACTAGTTGGGGGCTCTTTCGTCTGAGGCTGGTTCGTGTCAGTTTCAGTGTGCTCAAATCACCGTCTTAATTTGTCCAATTTGGCCCGTCGCCGGGTCCTCTCCCTCCTCCTCCTCCTCCTCCTCCTCGACACTTCTCTCCCATTTCCTCTTTTGGCACCACATCTGTGCACCAGTGCCCGTTAATCTACCTGCACAAGACCTCTTCCCAAAGCTCCAAGATATACAAAAGGACTGCCATCCCACCTTGCATCTACCTCCAGCATCACCGACCATCATCCCATTCGAGCTGCTTGTTGATTCACGGCTGGGACCACTTGACCATCACATCAGCATCTTTTTATTGCTTCTACTTCTTCACGCCTCTGTCTGTCGTTGACGAGCAATACCAATCTACTCTTACTACCATTCGACCTCGCCGCCGAACAAGCTTCATCAAGCAAAACACAACAAGCAATCGTTCTCCGACGTGCCACTTTCACAAATAAAAAAACGAACTTTCCTGGCTGGACCGTATTAGGTACAGCTTACTCGCATACACCTTCTCCACATAAGACCCTGGGCTGATCAGCAGCAGTCCTTAAAACCGCCGTGCGGCTTCATCATTCGATTCCGCCAATCTTCTTTTTAACCCACAGGATCGAGCACCCAACGTGTCTCGTCCGCAACGGTCGTGTCTAAAAGACTTTCATTCTCAAAGAGAACAGCACAAGATGTCTATGCTCGCCATGGCTGCTCCGTCCCCCCATTCAGCATTCAAGAACTACCCCTGGGATGGCGGCAGGTCTTCCTCGGACTACTCCTCGCGCCCTCGTACTGAGCCCGAGAGAATCGCCTTGCCATCAATTCGTCAGGTACGACGATACTCGCAGCCTACAAATAGGCCTTTTGAACAATTAACTAACAACTATACAGGCCATCCCAGAACTCCATCTTCGCCTGCAACCCCAGGAGGCATCAACCACCAGAACCACCTCTTCCAACACCTCGCCAACAGTAGGATATGCCGGTGTCATGACGCCTCCCGAGTACGTTCACTCGCCAAACTCGAACAAGAGGAGGAGGCTCTCAATCGACGAGGAGCAAGAGAGCGAGAGAGTCAGCCGTGTCCCCAGACTGTACGAGTCTCCTGCCCGCCTTCCTCAACGCCAGATTTCCCCGCCAGTCCCTTCCCGTGCTGCCACTGAGAGCTGGACTGGATCTGCAAGGACGAGCCCCTACATGTCTTCATCAGGCATGCCTTCCATGAGGTCCCCCGCTATGGAGGTCAACGAGCGTCTTGAGTCCCGCCCAACACTTCCCAGCCTCCCGCCCATGAACTTCGAGAGGGAATCGATCCCCATGCAACGTGTTCGCGGCCACTCCCAAGACGAGTTCCAGCCCATCCGCCCTTCCATGGCCATGTCTTCAGGACCCATGATGGAGGCCGCTCCTTCATACCGCCCCAGTGGATACGCCTACGGATACCACCACCCCAGCCGAGTCCAGTCTCTTTCCCTTGGCTCCATTCACCCCTTCGACCGCACGCCATTCTCAGCCGCCGGATATGGTCATTACCCTGAGTTCATGCGCATCGGAGAGCTTGGAGGCATGGGAATGCACGCTGACAGCAAGCAACGCAAGCGCCGTGGTAACCTGCCAAAGGAGACGACTGACAAGCTGCGTGCTTGGTTCGTCGCTCACCTGCACCACCCCTACCCCACGGAGGACGAGAAGCAGGAGCTCATGCGTCAGACCGGTCTGCAGATGAGTAAGTTTACACTTTCCGAACTCGTTAAGCGTGGGACCAAAAAACGCTAACCTTGTTGCCTCTAGACCAGATCTCCAACTGGTTCATCAACGCGCGGCGCCGTCAGCTTCCCACCATGATCAGCAATGCCCGTGCTGAGTCCGACGCCATGTCCAGCCGCAGCGGCGAGAGCAAGATCCTCCCGTCGACAGAGCGCAGCGAGTACGACGACGGCAAGCGCTCCAGCGTTCCCCTCAGCGATGGCGAGGCCTTTGATGAGGACCTCGACCTGAAGCAACGGCGTACTGCCCACATCAAGAGGGGGAGCATCTAGAAGATAACGCCTCTTGAATCATCCGAGACAAAGAAAAAAAAAATTACAAACGCTCAAAACAAAGGGCGACCTTCTGCGACACAAGAATTATTTATCACTATACCAGACGCGCGCTTCTATTTTATCTTATCATCATTAACGACGGACCACGACCGCAAAAGACCCAACAATCACAAAATTCGGCAAAATCAGGGGCAAATTTCTAATATTCACGAGCTTTTGTATAAAACAATACCACCAGGAGTTGATGGGATCAAGTCCCTCCTCCTGGAAAGCACCCTTTTCTACGTCGACTGTACCTATGGGGATAATGTATTCTTACACCAACACAAGAAAAGGCGACTGGGGTTTTACATCACACACACACACACACACACACACACACGCACACACACAAATGGGACAAACGGGGGGCAGGAATTGGAAGGGGGACAGGCAGGAAACTGGATGGGCTTGGTCGGACAGACAAATATGCACAACAAGTTTTTTATTTTTTGGACAACTGTTTATTTTCTTTCTTTCACACAATTGGGTGTTGAAAGGTGTTTCATGGGTTGGGGGGCAAAGGGGGGTTAACATTTTATTTTCTCTTCCCCAACCATAGCCAAACCAGAGGCTTGCTTCTCTTCATCACAGGATACGTAGAACGATATCATTGTAACAAATTCTGTTTTTTCTTAAACCCCTACGAGCTACACCAAAAAAGGATGTCATTCTCTTGTATATAGTACAAAAACATTCAAGACTCCATTTCCGAAGCAAATTGAGTCTACACTTCTGAGTCTTTCAACGTGCTCAACGTCAGTGGAGAAATAGAGAGAGAGAGCGAGAATGTGTCAGTTTTCTGCATAGTTCACCTGGTGAACCCAACAGCCCGGCACCATGGGAAAGCAAGACAGCCCTGCCTCAGGGTAAAGGGGTGTGTGTTTGACAGTGAGTGACAGACAAACATGTTGCCTCCTTTGCACCCTCTATGGATCTTCTTTTTTTTCCCCCCAAAACAAACAAACAAGTCCTGAGAGACTCGCCAAGTCCACGGGCCTCTTCGTTAAACCTCTCCAGCTGAACGAAGTAGAAGATAGTGTGAAGAATCCAAGCGCAATGTTTACATTTCTCACGCATATCCAATCGGACACAACAAACATCATCACAGAATTCAAGAGGTTGGGCTGAGGAGGTACGTATGTTGTATGCGCAGATGTGCAGGTGTGTGTTCGAGCATTCGGCAACAAGAAACATGAAAGGTCTGTGTGGTTCCCCGGTTCCTGGATGACAGACAAAACCAAACCAAACCCCCATTGCAACTCTCACACACCCCCTTTACCTTACGAGGAGCTGGGCTATATGCCGTGGTGTTCCGAACAACGTCACACGGAAGGAGTGGGTAAGTTTTTCCCACTCCATGATCCCATCCAGCCGCTTGACTATCACTAAGGCAAGGTGATGAGCACGGTGAAATGTGGTGCGGGTTGGTAAGGCAAAAAAAAATGCTCAAGAGCTGCTGCGCGTGTGTGTGTGTATGTGTGTGCGTAGTGCATCTTGCGTGTCGCTGTGCATTTGCGTTCACCCGTGCGTGTTGTTGAAGAAAGGAAGGCGAGACTACGACGGCTTCGGAAGTACGTGAACAGCAAGACTTGTGTGTAGGCAGAGTAGACAGGCGTATGAGGAAAGGACAAGGCGGCGACCCAAGATCCTGGGCGAGCCTTAGTCCCGCCCATCGGAAAAGGCCCGTCCGTTACCGCTTTGCCCTTCAAACTACCCGTTTCCCGCCTTTTTGCCGTTGCCGTTGGACCAAGATGTCGTCGATATCGTGATTCTGTGCGCGGGCGGGTGAATGTTTCTCGCGAGAGACTTACGGTCAAGGTGAAAGGGGTGACTACTGCAGTCGCCTCCTCATTCTCAGTCTCTGTGTGTCGTGTCTTCCCCGCCGTCACCGCCGCTTTGCCTCTTTTTTTTCTTCCTCCCCTCCGGTTGCTCCGTCATTACACACGGATTCTGCAGCGAGCGGGCCTTCTTTTTTCGGAGGGGGCTGATGGTTGTTGAAAGTGTGCCCATCACGAAAAGGCGGGATGGAGACATGACAGGACTGTGTAAACACACGCGCGTGTTGACACAACCCGCCGAGATTGATAGAGAGCGGCCGCCCTCTTGGTGTTAAATAAATTGTTAAGCTGACCGCGATTCTTCAACGATGACCACCAACTCTTTCTCTAGTGTCCCTCTTGGTGCTTCTTGGTGCCGGGCTAATTAATGTCTGCTTTGCTAACTTGCTAGTCTGGCGTAGTGTAAGTTCGTTGTTGGGCCCCCCTTGGATTTTTTTCCCGCCATTTCGTTGTGACAACAAGTCCGCCTCTCCCGTAGTAAATGGTTTGTGTGGAGAAGGTTCAAGACTTCTGCAAAAGACACATGCATCACATTAGGCAGTTCATGTGGGCAGTAAAAGGAGTCATTGAAGAAAAATTGGAAAGGCTGAACAGAATGGCCGGCGGAGCTACTGTATGCTCTAATGTGAGGTGATGCGTAGTCGGTGGTTTTCTGTGTATGTACATGTAGAGTTATGTTGTACATGGCGTGTCCAGCGTTTAGTAAAATGTGTGGCGTCGTGAAACGTGAAACCTCTCACACAAACTGCACACTCTCTCCTGCTGCTGCTCTCTCACGACCTTCTCTACAAGGCGAAAACAAGACTAACGCTTCATGTTCCAGGGCGAACAGCTGATTCGCTGGGTTCCGAATTGTAAAATGGATAGCTTTCTTGCATTTTCCCTAGCGTGCTTGTACGAGATAGGGGACCAAAAAATCAGGCCAGGCATATTTTCTTCTTTCTTCGGTGGGTTTCACAAAGAGCGCTGCAGTCATGGACGGATTTGGGGGGTCCCTCCTGCCCTTTCTCAAGGAATCACAGGACGACGCGGGAAAATGAGAATACGAGAAAAGAAGAAGCCAGGAGAGCGAGGTAGGTAGGTCAGGTACCTGCAGTCCACCAAAGTACGGATCCTGTGGCGTAATCGTTCATGAAGGGGAAAAAACGAGGCCAGCCGCACCCTCCGGATCCCCAACACCACCACAATGACATTGACAGAATGGAGTCAACGACGAAAAGGCGGAGCGGGCTAAATGCTGGAACCTCCTCCTTGGCCGGCCTTACACTCACCACACTCATACTCACACGCACACATTCACACCACAATGTCCGGTAGGATGCCTTGCTCCACAGGAACTAGACACGTCCCCTACCTTAGTTCACTCATGGCCCGCCGCCGTCGCAGAGGCACACCTGGGAAGCTTGGAGTGCGACCCCTTCTTCCCTCGGTGGCAGGCCTCGCCGTCCTTACTCTATGTTCCTTACGGGCCTCATGGGAACGTCGGCGAGCTGTTGGCCACGCAGACGCACGCCAACGGCGCAACCTCTTTGCACAGGTGGGATGGACACCACCTCTCGTGGGTTGCATATCCGGGCAATGGCCAACGCCTCCCGATCTCGATATTGGGAGCTGCAGATCTCCTCGACTACCCTCCTCTAGTCCATGCGTAACGTACAGCACTGGTCTATCCCGCCCTTTCATTGTGTCTGGTTTTCTTCTTTTTTCTCTTTTTCTGCCCACCCTCGGAGGGACCCTCAATGTAAGGTACTTGCACGAGAACCCCAGTGTACTTTGCTGATGGGCGGAACATTGGCATGCCACTCACTTAATGATGCCTTGCATTTCTTTCCCACCCTCATGCCATGCGGGTGTCTAACCTTGCTCCTCCTGACTTGTCCTCAGACTTGCTGCTACATGCAAGCTGCAATGCATGACCCGTGGATTATCAGGGCCTTGCCAATTACTTTTAGGTGGTGGTCGAGATAAACCTCCTTTTCCTGTCTCTGTCTCTCACATCTTGGCAGACGCAAACCTTCAATTAATTCCCGGGGCAAACATAGAAAAGCAAAGAGCCATAATGACAGGTGGACAAGGACATGGATCGCTGGTCCAAAGAGCCCGTGTCAAGGCCGGAAAGTGATCGACTGCCGGTGTCAGGATACCTCCTCGAAGCCCCCTTGACTGGACGTGACAGAAGAACCCAAGACAGCTGGATAGGGGGGGTAATAGAACTGGTCGGAGCCATTAGCATGGTCATCCGATGAAGTAACCTTGGTCTTGCTGAGACGTTGACATGAAGGGGGAAGCAAGTCAGTCCTTCCAAGGGGGGGTAAAGTTTGATAGGTACATGGCAACAACCACCACGCCATGAGCTTCGACAGCTAACCCACCAAGGAGGAGGAGGCTTTCAAAACGTTTCCGCACCATTTCTCCTCTCTCACATCGATGCTCTTAGGGAGTTAGGCATGCCGAAAGTCAGATTAACATCTGCCAGTGTGCTACGGCAAAATCCTGACAAGTGACTGGGCCCGATGCAAGGTGCGGCAGGTGTCCAAAGGTTGGATGAGGGCGAACCAGAGTGGGAAGCGAGACTCGTCGTGGTTGCGATGTCACTGGGCCTCGCGTCCCATGCACAAGCGTCGTAGCTTTGTGTGAGATGACAGCCAGTCGCAACGGCCACTGGACAAAGAGGGGGGCAGGGTGTGCAGATTCACAACGTGTAGACTGCAGCACAACACAAGACGAGACCCAGGAAAGGCCGCCGTCGACAGGGAACAGGGCTCGCACGTCCGGTTGCTTCAAGCCGGGCCAAGAACGGCCGGCGCTCAGAAGGGATGTCAGTTGCCCACCCTCAGGCACGGGACATGAGACTTGGGGTGGAAGGTTGGCGAGTCAAACTCCACCTTTGGTACGGCGGCTGTTGCTTGTTACAATGTTAATAGAGCTTGAGGCGGCAGGAAACTATCATGGATGTCAGCAACGAGGCCAAGCTCACCCCGTCAATGAACGTGAGGGTGGGAAAGCGCCCAAAGTGGGCGTGCCATGTCAGCATGGCTAGTGTCGTAGGGCCTGTCACTGCAGCATAGAATAGGAAGGCAGAAAGATAGGTATTGGGATGGGATGGCGTAGATCCATCATCCAAGGGTGTGTGACTCTTTCGTTTGCTCGGCACTTTTTGGCGGAGCTGGGAGGCGTTAGACGAAAACGACCTTGCGCTGCGGAGTCGAAGCGTGATACCTATGGAGATGTGCGAGAACTTAGAAGCCCTGGATGGATGGTAACATGCCGTATCGCCACTTGAGATGCGGCATAAGAGGGCATGGCCGCGGTAGACTGGGGAGTATGGTGAGGAGAGGTTCAAACGACGTTGGCGCGATGGAGAAATGGCGGGCGGGTCTACAATCTGTAGCGGGTCCTCGGAGATCAGCGGATCTACATTGGACAACGACGACCACGGTACCACAGTATCGTACAGATACGTAGAACGAACACAGGGATTCGCGCGATGACGAGGAATTGGGATGAAGACAAGCCATAGCGGCCGGATGTATCATGTGTGCGTAGGGGATTCCATGTCGTGATGCTTGTCGACGAAAGCAATTCCGTTTCCAGGATAGCAGATCGGGCTTGCGACTGGGCGTCGTGAGCATGCAATTTCATGGCGTAGTGTATAATTTGCAGGCCAATAATTAGATGGAACTTGGAGTCGATGCTCGTCTTGGTGCAGGATTGTTCGATACGTGTCAAGGCGAATGGCTGTGGCTGTTTGGTATTGGCGGGAACTATCGAGACTCATTCGAGAGGGTCCAAGGTGCGGATGGCGGGAGTGTTTCGAGGGCATTCAAGGGTCGATAGACTGTGGCGCCAGGAGCGTTAGTTTCGTGCTCTGCTCGCTCTTTGGCGTTTGTGGCTTGTCTGTTGGTCGGCCAGGCTCGCATGGCAAGGCCGAAGGGGCGCATCTGGAAAGGGTACCTAGAAGCCTGAAGGAGGGCGTCTTTGTCTCAGGGCGTTCCTTTGACGGATTCAAGGTGTTCCATGAAGTCGGTTTGCCTATTGGGGATGGGCTTAGCGGATAGCCGCGCCCGTGTTGGCGCTTTGAGAAGTTCTGCAGCGACATGTATGTAGTCGAGCACTGTCGCCGCCCCCATGTTTCGAATGCTTCTGCTGGGGTTCTCCAGGAATGCTTCTCCTGTGTAGGTATCCGTAGACCAAGACGTGTCAGGGTACTGAGTCCCTCGAGGCTTGAGCAGGTGCCACTTGATGATTTGAATTTCTTCGGCCCCCTTTGTTTTCGGAAACGTAGCAAAGTACTGGGCCGGTTCGGGAACGAGGTGTCTCCTGTCAGAGCCATCGTGCAGCGGGCAGAGAGAGGGCCGAGGGGTGGGTGCCGCGCACATCATCGATGATTGACCAAAAGTGCCTTGACGTGCTGGGAAAAGCCTGGTACGAGAGGATGCCAGCGATGACTCGCCGGGGGAGGAGGCTGTTGGGAATGTAACTCTGTGATGTGTGTGAAGTATCTGTCTTCTCTCTTCCGTGACAAGTTGATTCCTAAGAAGCGCACAGTCTGTAATACGGTACTTCGTGACAGAGTAGGAAGCGTGATGAAGAATGGACGGTAATGCAAGATTGTGAGTGGACGATTGACGTCCTTGTTGGAGATTGAAGATGGCTTGTGCCCCACAACTCTACACTAAGCCCGAGGTACGTACTCTGCGCTACGTACCTGCACGGTATACCCTGGTCACGCGGTCCGGACCAGTAGGCTGTAGCAAAGATACGTATCATTCTTCACCTGACGTTGGTGAAGTCCCGTGGGACCCACTTGAGCTTCATGTTCCTTCCTTCCTTTCCAGGCCTTGTCGGAAAGATACTTCCAATCTGGGCCATCACTGGTGGGTCTCGCAGGTACCTTTCTCAAATAGCGTAAGCCCCCTGGACAACCTAAGCTCTGATCCAGCTCCGTCTCTGTCAGACCAACCAATGCAGTATGGCGATACCGCGACCGTTGGGAATGGAAGTACCGGGATTCAGCCATCGTAGGTGTCCTTGAGGCAAGGGGTTCTCATGGTAGTGGCAAGGCTTGGTACATTGATTCCCCTCGAGTGATTTACGACGCTCAATCGCCATCGCCAACAGTGCCGTATCGCGATCATTATCCGCGATGTAGCACTGACTGTAGGGTTGCCAGGCCCGGGCTATAAGCGGAAGGGTAGGGGAAGGAAGGGACGGGGGCCATGTGGGGAATGATCCGGTTCTGGCTGCCATAATCCCGGTGCCCCGATTTCCGCCTATCATCCGCAGCGAATGATCGCCGGCCCCGGTCGCCATCTTGCAGCCGCCCTGGATTGGCCCTGGTTCAATCGAGCCTGAATGCCACCAACTTCTGGACTGCGGATATTCCGACCCATGTTCCAAGAGATTTCATTCCTGCTACTCTCCAATTGAGTCCTTGACAAGGCTTTTACGATTCAAGGTTTACCTGCCGTAGCAGAGGATGGACACAATGTCGTATACTACCCCGTACATACAGTACTACGCAAAACCTACTGTGTATACCTGGTCGTGGGAGACTGAAATTCCACCAACAGTTCAAGCATCGTCCTCGTTCATATTCCGCCATCCCGACGACATCCGTGCTTCCTCGGACTATGCCCCAATGGTCCGTCCAGAGATACTTACCTACTCTAGTTACTCAAGGAGCCAAGTAAAGCAAGGAAAATCTCTGCAAGTAGCAATCAGGTATCCCACATAAATACTTCTGCATACTATGTAGTATGTGCAAGTGCGGGTACGTGAGCAGGCTATTCTCCTCTTCCTCCTTCTCCAGGTACATGCTGGACGCTGCTCCTTGCTTGCTGCGTCATGATCCAGATTCTAGGAGACTTGGTACATACATACGTGGCGCCGTGCACCTGCTCTCACAGAGCCAACTCGTCACTGGATCACAGAGGGCCTCAGAACGAGTGTTTCCTGCCTCAATCCACGCATGCCACGCATGGCGACCCAAGGTATGTACGGATCTGGGGCTGCGGCTGCCGCCAACGTAGGGCAATGCGACCTGACGTGAGGTGCCAGTCAGACATTGGACGCCCCATCTGCCAGCTTGCCAATACACTACCTACATTGTCCCGCGGACGCCTTTGGAGACTTCTCGCTGCATAATTCGGCACTAGAGCCTCGCCAAACCATCCCCACCAGCATTATGTTTTGTCATGATAATGGAGTCACACTCGGACCTTGACTCGAGGCGTAAGCCTAGAGCGACCTCTTCCCAACATCACGCAGCCTGGGGCACTCACTTCAAGTCTCCAACACCTCGTTGCTGCTTGTGTGCCCCCCATCGCTTATCACACTTTGCCTCCTCAAGATCAGTGTGCCCCGCGGGCTGAGAGAGCCAGTCTAGCATGGCCAGGCCTGTCGAAGCCAAGGAGCGTAACTGACTCTAGGAGTTGTGAGTTGTCCCTGCCCCCCTCTTCAAAACATAGTTTGCTCTGACGTCTATCCCGATTCACACCCGTCAGCCGCTTGGTTCCACCCAACTAGCAACGCACCGGGCGGTCATGCTTCCCCAGTCTAACCCACGCCGGCTCGTCTCTCATCCTCAAAGTTAGTGTTTCTACGAAGGCTGCCCTGAATCGCAACGGCCGACGATCCCCGTTGCCTGTCTGTTCCCTTGTCGGCTGCGTTTGGTTCCTCGACTCTTACTGGTTGGGAGATTCCTCCGATTTGAAGGATGCGCAGAACACGAGGGCGCTCAGATGACAAGTCTGAAGGGCACCACTCATTGCCAGCAAGCCAAACAGCATATTTTTGGTGAAACCACCTAACAGAGGCCACTCCAGCCCCTTTCATTCCACCATCATGGCAATCCTCATACTGAGCTTTCGGTGGCTAGATTTCCCTACGCACAGCCCTGATAACAGGGCATCGCAAACTTTCCAAATCCATGTCGCCAATCTTCGAGAATCACTAAGATCACGGCTTGTCTGCTGACCACGCGGCGGGAAGATCATGAAGCCTGGGCCGCCGTCGATCCTGATCAGCCTAAATCCAGCGCCAAACACCGAAATCCCCGGGTCCGTTGGGCTTGTCAATCTTAGTTGGCTTCATCTCCCATCAAGTCACTCGCCCGAGTATTCCTAAAGTGGCCTCCCGAGAAGCCACTTGAGCGATCCTCTTAGTTCCACACAAAACACATTCCGAAGGACTCGCGATCTATGGCCGCTTCGGCTCCGCAGGGAGTTAGTCAAGCATCCAACTCAGCAAGTGGTGGCGGGCAAGCGCTATCTGCGTAAGAGACATCCTTGGCAGTTCATAGCCAATCTCAAAACCTCTTGGCCGCGTTCGTTCAATCGCTACCTCCAAACGCCGTCGTGTGTCAATTTCTCACCCGGCGTTATGTTGACATCCAGACCACGACGATCATCAGGCCTGGGGTCACGTCTAACGATGCCTTCTGCCATGAGGCGCTAGGCCGGGATACCGTGTGCAGCTGTCAAAGGGTAGGATGTCTCGCTCGCATATTCGGCCTCTCAAGTTCATTCAATCGTACTACCTCCGGTGTCATACTCAACCGAGGGACAGTGTTGGAAGCTTGGGAGAATAGTGGGCCGTGGCGTTCGGCGCGCGTCAATCCTCCACGCTCGCCCGTGTTTTAGTTCGGCAGGAATATGAGACTAGTGGCAATTCTCTCGGCGCGGTTTCGACTGGTAATTTCCTGACTCTGTTGCAAATCACCCTCGCGACTACGAGGAGAATGCCGTACGAGGCGTAGTGGAAGGTCTGGCCATCACTTTACTTCTGGCGGGCGCCATCGTCAGTGGCTGCCGTTCCTCGACACGCTTCACCGATGATATCGCCGGATCTCCCATGATCCTTCGAGGAACAAAGTTTCAGACCGCCAACCGTGACGAATGAGAGCAGGTGTGATCGCTCGTGATCGTCCCACCAAGGCGAGAACAGTCCGTCTGACCGCGAGAGACTGGTAATCACGTACTGTATTCGCCCTCAGGCCGAATGTTATGACTGCACAATTGGGATGGCAGTCGGTGAACACCTCGACCCAGGGCCGAGAGTGCAGCAACTCTGTCCAGTCCATTGGGTACTGGTTCCTGGAGCGCCACGGAGAATTTTAGCCTTTTGACGATGCAAACTCAAAAACTCGTCATCAACGAGAATGTAGATGTTTCTTCGTCGGCTGCTTTCACCTGATACCTTAGCTCTGGGGACACTGACAAGCTTGGCTATCGGCTCGCCATTAACTTCGGCCTTTCGTGATGGCTCCAGATCATCCAGGGGAGGCGGCGATGAGCCTCCGCCGATCATTGAACACCCTCCGAGCTGTCCGTGGACCCACGGTGCCGCGGTTGGCTCAGTGTTCCTGGCGAAGATCACCGGGCCAAGAGCACTAAGCTGCGCCGCTTGGCAGCGAATAAGCGGATGGCTCGGCCGAGCCGGAGCCGGGTGGGATGAGATCACCGGAAAGAGGTCGCCGAGTGTCGGCCAATCCAGCAGGACGTGGAGTTTGCGGAGAACCACAAATTATCGGCTGAAGAACGGGAAATTTCCGGACATTATCCGGCGACGGCTCCGAAGATCTCAACGTTAGGATCCATTCTGCGCCGTTTAACAGGCTTGGCGTACATGATTTGCAGCTCACGTGGAGAGAAGCGGACACAGTTGACCGTTGATAGCTTTGAGCAGTAAAGGATGTCGATTCCTCAATTCTTGGCCAGCCTGATGAGTCATCATGTACGGCTCGTCATAGAAAGTCTCAGAGCCAATTAGACTGAGGCACTAGGTCCATCTCGGACATCGGACATCGGTGCAAAAACTGTCCGACTAAGCAAACAACTGGGGCCGACACGCACTCGAGCGCGTATCTGCCTGGTGAAGACCTGCTCCTAATAGTGCAGCAAAGGGCCACGGAGAAACTGTCAGTAACTCTTTGGCCTTTTTTGCCGCAATAGTGCTCGTTCAAAGCCCGCATTACGTACCCGTTGTCTCTTGCGTCACGCTGCAGGCACCTCCGAGTCCGACTCTCCCGTCTCCTCCGAGTTTGCCTTGAGTCTTGGCCCCGGCCGCGGAAGGCCCACTTCCGGCACTCTTCTTACCTCCCGTTGCCCCCCTCCTTGTCGAGGTCTCGGAAGCAAATTTTTGCGGCTCATCATGGATACCGACGACGGCGTGCAAGCGGATCTCCCGGGCTCCGCCGCCAACGCCTCGGAGCCGTTGGCGTGCGTGACTTGCCGGTCCCGAAAGCTTAAGTGTGATAGAGTGAAGCCGGCATGTAGCCGATGCTTGAAAGTGAAGGGAGAATGCGTGTATCCGGAATCGAGAAGGAAGCCAGCCTTCAAGCGGAAGAATGTGAAGGAGCTCGAGGAGAGGCTAGGTAATGCGTTCTCATGTACTCCCGCCAAAAAGACTTCTCACTAACCAAGACACAGCGCAAGTGGAAGATCTTCTCAAAGAAGCTGCCGGCAAGGGGAATGGGGCGCTGCCCTCTGAGGGTGATCTGGATAGCCGGATCAATATTGGCATGGACGACTTCCATGTTGACATTGAGACCATCATGGCTATGCAAAACGGTACATTTGACGACGGAACCTCGGGCTTCCACACGGGGCCGAATATGAACAAGACGGTCCCGCCCTCACAACCTGGAGCACCCAGCTTCGCCGACGCCTCGGGGGAACTCATGGGACTAGGGCTCTCAGAGGCTTTACCCCCTTTTGAGATGATAGAGGAGCTGTATGTTGCGCATCTGGCGCTCTCTCACTCCTCTGTTTTCGCGATAGCCCCCATCTGACTTGGAGAGCAGGAACAAAAGCTTCTTTGAGAGGCAGCAGCATTTCATCCCAATCATCCACCCCGGTCGATATCTCCAGGCCTTCTACTCGGCGCCTCATAAACGCCCACCCATGTGTCTGCAGTATGCGGTTTGGTCCATGGCCTCTAACGGGCATGAGAAGTATAGCCAGTACCACGACATCTTCTATAAACGGGCTCGACAATACGCAGATGCGGATGAGATGAAGGTGAGTTCTCTCTCGCTCTCTCTCTCTCTCTCTTTCTCTCTCACAGCACACCTGCTGCTCTAGAAAGGACTCGCTGACGCTCACACTACTACGTAGGGGTTCGGCGAGCACTTCCTCACCATACAACACGCGCAAGCGTGGGCTCTTATCGCGACGGACGAAGCGAGGTCTCTTTTCTTCACGAGAGCGGCCATGAGCTCGGCAAAGTGCGTACGACTCGTGGAGATGATGGGTCTTCACCGCATCGACGGCGATGGGCAGGAGATGGCGCCGACGCTTGCGCCGCCCACGTCGTGGGTTGACCTTGAGGAGCGGAGGAGGGCGTTCTGGGGCGCGTATTGCATCGACTGCCACGCGAGTATTGCGACTGGTTGGCCTACTCTCATTGATCCTAACGAAGTATGAATCCTTGCATGCCTGACCCTTATTGTTCTTTTTTTTTTTTTGGGTTACTGACATAAGACAGATCACGACACATCTCCCTTCATCCGAAGAGGCCTTCAACTCGGCTCGCGAAGAAAAAACGTCAACCTTGCCAGAAGCCTTCCAAGGGGCGTCGTACTCGACCTTTGCGGGCGCCGTCATCATGTGCTACATCTTCAATATGCTCCTGAAACACGTCCACTGGGAGCGGCCCAACGACAGGCCCGCGGACGTTGAGTACGGCGAGTTCTGGAAGCGGCACAGAGACATTGACAACATGCTCTCGAGCGCCTTCATGTTCTTGCCGGAGCGCTTCCGTCTACCGCAGAGCATGCGCGACCCTACGTCCGTTCACACGAACCTCAACCTCCATGCCTCGGTCATCTGCCTCCACCACGCCGCGATTGACAGGATCGAGCGGAACAAGCTCCCCGAACAGCTCAAGGCCGCCTCGGAGCTGCGGCTGCGGACGGCGGCGGAGGAGGTGGTGAACATCATCAAGTTGACGAGCCACATGAACTCTGGCTATGTAAGTGAAAGCCACGTCCGCCTCGAACCCGGCTTCGCAAACGCTCATTCGCTACAGAAAAGTCCTATGGTCGCCTTATCGCTCTACTCGGCGGCGTCAGTGTATGTCTACACGGCAAAATGCAACTTGGACACCGGCTTCTCGACGGCGGACCTGCAGAACCTGAAATTCATCATCAACGCCATGGAGGCGATTGGGAGGCGGCACATCATTACGCAGGCCTTTCTCCAGCAGATCTTTATGGATATCGAGCGCAACGGCCTGTCGGGCGTCATCGACCTGCCCAACCTGGCAAACTACAAAAACCTTTTTGGCTGGACGTCGTCCAACATCCCACTGCTCGCGCGAACGTCCATCTCGAAGCACACCGAAATCCAGCCGCCCTTGCCCGGCAGGCTGCCGCTCGGTAATCCCAAGGGTACCGCCTACGAGCACTACCCGATCAAGATGTCGGACGACGGCGGCTGCAATACCCCCATCTCCATGGGCGGGACCAACCCGATGCTCGGGCCGGTACTCGGGAAATTTGGCCAGGCTATTGGGATGGGACCGCCGTCGTCATCGGCGTCTATGGATATGCGGGACATGGGGCCGAATAAACGGAAGCGGACGTCGGAGGCGACGACGTCAACAACGAACCCGGATGTACCGAACATGGCGGCGCAAGCCGGCCCCTTTGCGTACCAGCCGGTGCCGGTGGCAACTGGTATCGACAGCGTGGGCGGGTTCGGATCGGGGCTCCTGCGAGGTAGTGGCATGGTTGGGCCAGCAGCATCGTCAGCAGCAGCCACTTCGCGAATCAACCTCCCGCACCGGAGCCCCGTGACAAGACAACCGTCGCCGACGTCAGTGTTTAATAACAGCACGCCGTCGCAGTCGACGGGCGGGAGCAGCAGTAACAATACACCGCCCGGGCTCGGGAACGGCAGCACCTCTTCGCCAGGCGATGGGAGCACCACGCAGAGTAACGGTGGAAACGGTGGCGGCAAGGTCAACGAGATAATCGATATTACGAGCATCCAGAACGCGATGCTGGGCGGCGGCGCTGCGGGGTCCTCTTCGACGTCAACGTCAACGACAACGTGGGATTCGAGGGGGTTACAGTATGCCCCGAGCACGGATCCAATTTCGTTTATGAATATGAACTTTGACTCGATTCCGCCGGGGATGGGGATTGACCCGTGGACTGTGCTGGCGAATCTGGATGATTTGACGTGGACTGGGGATGGAGAGGTGTCAACGGCAGCAGCGACGGGAGGGAACGGGAATGGAACTACCGGATAGGATTCACTGGAGGTGGGAGGGAGGCTTGGCTCGGGCTCAAGGAATGGACGGGTACGATACCGAAAATGTAGGGTTTGATTTTGATTTCTTGAGGTTGTCCTTGGTCAAAGGGGGGGGGGGAGGGGGCGGGACAGGGTTCAATGTCTGATGATATCCAGCGGGAAGGTGAGGTTTGGCATTACAAAGCAGACAATAACGCAAATGGGATAGGCAGGCGCTACGTATAGGTGTACGGACGCGTCACGAAGGTTTGGCGGTTCAGCTTGGCGGTAATATTGCAACGATTTAGAGTGTCTCAGCCAATAAAGGCGTGTGATGCGTGTCTCAAGCAATTTGTTAAAAGAAGATGGAAATTTGAGAGAGTTACTAAAACTATTGGAACCGTCCGAAAAACCAGAGTACCCTTATGAGAGCTAACAATATTGAGACTGTTTGGTACCCCGAAGTGTCCTTTCAGCGTAGTGGAAAAGAGGCAGCTATCAAGCCTGAAGAAGCCAGCTGTAATCTTCCGAAACAGAAGTGGCTGGCACCTAGTAATCGTCCTCGTCCAATGGCCCGCTATAATTCAAACTTGCCGGTTTGAATAATCCTGGTGTAGGTTCGTAATAGAATCGGATAGCTTTTGTGATTTTTTCCTCCTCTTCATAAGGATCATTGCCTAAAGTAAAGAATTGAATTCGATAACCACCGTCCCTCTGAAAATCAGTAGTGCCTTGAGCGTTCTCACCGAAGCCTATGAATTGACCTCGGTAGCACCAGCCCCAGAAGTCGTAAACGAGAGCGGTGTATTTATATGTCCCTTCATACATCATGTATTCCATAAGGAGCATGTTTGGAGCATCTTTGATTGGCTTGATTTTGACTCTGCCTGACGGGGACTCCTCTGATCCATACTTCCCGATGTATTCCATGAGAGATTGTTGATTCGGCAGTCTTGTGGCATCCGGCATTTTGACGAAGGCGAAGCGAAGTGAGAAGATATTAGATGTCGATTGGAGAAGTTGAAGCTCGGATGCGATAGGAAAAAGTTGTTTTGTGATCTTTGGGAGGGAAGTGGTAGGGACTGCTGAATATGCAGGATTCCCATGGCATTTATATCAATAAAATCCGCCATACTTAATGAACTTGTTCTTGTTGGTGCCAAACAACAGGGAACATCAGAAATTGAAGAATGGTTGTTTGCTCTGGGCGGTAAGCCCCAGGGAGGCGGCGACCACCTTGCAGTGAAAGGATTCCATGATTGCGGGACGGCAGCGCCTTTGCCAACTGACGAGGGTGTTCACTTGTGTCCAAGAGATTATATCAAGCGCAGAATGGCAGTCAACGATGATGTTCAAGAAGCAAACATCAAGAAGCAAACATCAAGATGCGGCGTGGGCAGTATGCGAGCTTTATCTGTTTACCCGAAGGTAGGTACCTAGTCAGGGATCGTCTGTTGAGGCATCTACCAAAGCAATGACACTTCTGTTCAAAAGTTTGAACAACCTTTACTATTTCCCCCATAATTCAAGAGCTAAAGAGCCTGTTTGCGAGAAATTCCTCATGGAAATACCAGAATTTTGCCCTCCTTGCAGCATCCTACCGATACAAGTACGTTGAGCAAAACAAAGTCAAGAAATGGAATCGTTAGGAGCAAGGAAACACCCCCGAGAACCATCCACGTTATCGCCAGATACTTTCCCTAAATGACTGTAAGTGGCAGTTACTTGTGAGATCTGGGTTGCCCTAGAATCATGTTGATGTTGACCGCGTGAACACCCTACGTCTTCTACTACTACGAGTCAATTGTTAATTGGCACTGAACGTTTAATAGAGGAGCGCGGTCTTTGTGTAGGCTGCCGAGCCTGTTATTCGTGTTTTGGGGGGGGGGGAATAGAATTTATCACAACGAACAGGACTCGTCTAGATATTATTAATAGTAGATGGGGGTTATGCCGGACAAAGTTAAAGATTATTTCGTGTTCAGCGTGAGCATTATGCAAGACGTGTCATGGTGGTTTACTTTGGGGGCCCTAAGCATTGTGCTGTTGCTGCTTGACTTCGAGCTTGTCTCCCAAATGAGAAGACATAGTTGCGTTACGTGAGACAGTAGGTCACAATATCATATTGCTTATATAACTATATCGATCGGGCAAGGCAACTCAACACTCGTCAAACATAGTCATCCAGGGAAGTATAGGCACATCACCATCCACACGAGTCATCGCGTGCTCGTGGATACGTATGTGCTATATGTTTCTCCGGTCTATAAGGTAGTTTATTACATACAGAGTTATATATTAAGAGACTAACTATATTGAAGATACCTAAGGTTCCGAGTCATCTCTTCAGGAACAGTGAGCCTCAACGAGCTGTAGTCCCCCGCGGCAGTGTTCTAGCCACCTCGGTCAGGTTTGGCTGTTGCGTATATGGATTCGAGAGAAACTAAAGACCATGTCTAAAGACTACCGTGAAGTGCTCGTGCTAATTTCGAATGTGATAGACAAACTTAAAATCCATTCGATAATCGGTTTCCTCGTCGGTCCAAAAGTACAGGCCAGTTTGATTCCTACCGTTATCTTCGCGAAATAAGACCTCTAGATTCGACTTCGGTTCATTGAGGGGTTCATACTCGCCTTGGAGCTTACTTCGTGTCCAAGTTTTGCCAACATCGCCTGCCGGATGCGGCTTGAGGTAGCAGACTTTTCTTTCGAGTTTCTGGAGAAAACCTAACTTGAGAACGGGCTCCGTAGTCGAAGAAATATGTTCAGAGACGCGAATGGTGAGTTTTTCTCCCTTCTCTCTCTCTTCAGTCTCACTGTAAGAGTAAATGGTTGCAGAACCTCCTGTGATCGGTGTATACAACAGTTGGCGACGTTGCTCTGGGGTCCTTATCGTCAGACATCTTGGCAAAGGAGTGACGGACTAAGTAAATTTTAGACGTAGTGGCTTGGAAATTCTGGAATAATAGTTGATATTGCTATTATCGCCGTTGCTGTTGCTGCTGTGAGTAGCAGTACTTCACTCGATAGACAACTTTTCCATGGCATCTATATAAACGAAATTCTCCAGACCTCATTTAGTAGGCTTGGCCTCTCAGTCGACATCATGAATGCGAAGCAAAAGCTTCTACCGGGTGGCGGTAAGTACGCACAAGACGGTACAAATCTCCTTCGCATCGAAGGATCCTGTTGTCATGAACCAGTAGCCGTCTTTGCTGAAGGACGTGTGTAATTACGACTCCTCAGTGACACCCCTGCCAAATTTACGAACAACGTTTGAAGAATCACAGGTACCTAAGCTGATATTCACCACTCTCGGCAAGCACCGTCACGTGTAGCAGCATGCTGAAAGGCGATACTTCTGTTCAAATTTCGAATACTTTCACTGTTTTCCTCACTCTCAAGAGCTGAGGAGCCTGTTCACAGGGAGCTCTTTCATGGAACCGCCAGAGGTTGGCCTCACTCGCAGCAGTCCGTTCCACTGGTGCGCGTTGGTTCAGCGATCAAAGGTCTCCAATAGGCAAATCGTCAGGGGTAAGGAGGCACCTATGACTGCCGTCAATAGCTGCTAGTGGTGGCCTTTCCGAACAACCCAGAGAAAGGATCAAGTTGCTTGGCTGTTCATGCAAAACTTAGAGATGGCCGTGAAGTCCATCATCCGAAGTCAATGAGGTGGGGGTTATCGACCTGTCCTGCTTGTGGAGCTTGGTAGCGCTCCGTGGATACCTAGCCAGACGGGTTTGCCATAGGACCTGACACCAAGACCCATTGAACCGACTCGGGAGTTTAGTCCGTCACAAACTGGACTCAGATGTATGCAATCTGTATTGGAGATCTTGCTCAGACTCCTTGGGGGATCCGTATCGTCAAGCTATCGTGTAGGGTCACTTTCTGCATCAATGGTTTGGATGAAGTCGAAGGCATACGCCTTGATGTTTGTGAAAACGCTCAAGGAACTATCTAAAAGCTCCCTCATTCAGGAACGCGTCTTTATCAGGCCGTGAAGCGTCGTTGGGGACGCTCTCAGGAACAAGCCGGACTCAAAGCAGTCTATGTCTGAGCTTATTCGCAGCGACGTTAGTGACTACACGCTATGCCGTCTCGAGGAGTATTCTAGATAGAGGATTCTTTTCAAAAAGTCGGTTC